CGAACTTCCCCCACACTCACAACTGGCTCTTCCTCACTCCTACAAGATGTTATTCCTCCTTGCCCTATACACGAAATCACAGCTTCCCTATCTTCATCAACATTTAACAATTCCTCAAAATATTCCTTCCATCTTCCCAACACCTCTAACTCTCCATTTAATAACTCTCCTCTCCTATTTTTAACTGACAAATCCATTTGTTCTCTAGGCTTCCTTAACTTGTTAATCTCACTCCAAAACTTTTTCTTATTTTCAAGAAAATTTGTTGATAACATCTCACCCACTCTCTCATTTGCTCTCTTTTTACATTGCTTCAACCACTCTCTTAACCTCTCTCTTTTTCTCCATATACTCTTCCCTCCTTGCATCACTTCTACTTTGTAAAAACTTCTCATATGCTAACTTTTTCTCCCTTACTACTCTCTTTACATCATCATTCCACCAATTGCTCCTCTTCCCTCCCGCACCCACTTTCTTGTAACCACAAACTTCTGCTGAACACTCTAACACTACATTTTTAAACCTACCCCATACCTCTTCGACCCCATTGCCTATGCTCTCATTAGCCCATCTATCCTCCAATAGCTGTTTATATCTTACCCTAACTGCCTCCTCTTTTAGTTTATAAACCTTCACCTCTCTCTTCGCTGATGCTTCTATTCTCCTTGTATCCCATCTACCTTTTACTCTCAGTGTAGCTACAACTAAAAAGTGATCTGATATATCTGTGGCCCCTCTATAAACATGTGCATCCTGAAGTCTACTCAACAGTCTTTTATCTACCAATACATAATCCAACAAACTATTGTCATTTTGCCCTACATCATATCTTGTACACTTATTTATCCTCTTTTTCTTAAAATATGTATTATCTATAACTAAACCCTTTTCTATACAAAGTTCAATCAAAGGGCTCCCATTATCATTTACACCTGGCACCCCAAACTTACCTACCACACCCTCTCTAAAAGTTTCTCCTACTTTAGCATTCAGGTCCCCTACCACAATTACTCTCTCACTTGGTTCAAAGGCTCCTATACATTCACTTAACATTTCCCAAAATCTCTCTCTCTCCGCTACATTCCTCTCTTCTCCAGGTGCATACACGCTTATTATGACCCACTTTTTGCATCCAACCTTTACTTTAATCCACATAATCCTTGAATTTACACATTCATATTGTCCTTTCTCCTTCCATAACTGATCCTTCAACATTACTGCTACCCCTTCCTTGGCTCTAACTCTCTCAGATACTCCAGATTTTATCCCATTTATTTCCCCCCACCGAAACTCCCCTACCCCCTTCAGCTTTGTTTCGCTTAGGGCCAGGACATCCAACTTCTTTTCATTCATAACATCAGCAATCATCTGTTTCTTGTCATCCGCACTACATCCACGCACATTCAAGCATCCCAGTTTTATAAAGTTTTTCTTCTTCTCTTTTTTAGTAAATGTCTACAGGAGAAGGGGTTACTAGCCCATTGCTCCTGGCATTTTAGTCGCCTCATACGACACGCATGGCTTACGGAGGAAAGATTCTTTTCCACTTCCCCATGGACAATAGAAGAAATAAATTAGAACAAAAGCTATTTAGAAAAAGGAGAAAAACCTAGATGTATGTATATATATATGCATGTGTGTGTCTGTGAAGAATGACCAAAGTGTAAGTAGGAGTAGCAAGATATCCCTGTTATCTAGTGTGTTTATGAGACAGAAAAAGACACCAGCAATCCTACCATTATGCCAAACAGTTACAGATTCTGTTTCACAGTCATCTGGCAGGACGGTAGTACTTCTCTGGGTGGTTGCTGTCTACCAACCTATTACCTATAATTTTTTTTTTTTTTTTTTTTTAACAAGTCGGCCGTCTCCCACCGAGGCAGGGTGATCCAAATAAGAAAGAAAATCCCCAAAAAGAAAATACTTTCATCATCATTCAACACTTTCACCACACTCACACATTATCACTGTTTTTGCAGAGGTCCTCAGAATACAACAAACTGCCAATATCCCAAACCCCTCCTTTAAAGTGCAGGCATTGTACTTCCCATTTCCAGGACTCGAGTCCGACTACATATATGAAAATAACCGGTTTCCCTGAATCCCTTCACTAAATATTACCCTGCTCACACTCCAACAGATCGTCAGGTCCCAGGTACCATTCGTCTCCATTCACTCCTATCTAACACACTCACGCATGCTTGCTGGAAGTCCAAGCCCCTTGCCCACAAAACCTCCTTTACCCCCTCTCTCCAACCCTTTCAAGGACGACCCTACCCCTCCTTCCTTCCCCTATAGATTTATATGCTTTCCATGTCATTCTACTTTGATCCATTCTCTCTAAATGACCAAACCACCTCAACAACCCCTCTTCTGCCCTCTGACTAATACTTTTATTAACTCCACACCTTTTCCTAATTTCCACACTCCGAATTTTCTGCATGATATTTACAGCACATTGCCCTTAAACAGGACATCTCCACTGCCTCCAACCATCTCCTCGCTGCTGCATTTACCACCCAAGCTTCACACCCATATAAGAGTGTTGGTACTACTATACCTTCATACATTCCCTTCTTTGCCTCCATAGATAACGTTTTTTGACTCCACATATACGTATCTCAATGCACCACTCACCTTTTTTCCCTCATCAATTCTATGATTGACCTCATCCATCATAAATCCATCCGCCGACACGTCAACTCCCAAGTATCTGAAAACATTCACTTCTTCCATACTCCTCCTCCCCAATTTGATATCCAATTTTTCTTTATCTAAATCATTTGATACCCTCATCACCTTACTCTTTTCTATGTTCACTTTCAACTTTCTACCTTTACACACATTCCCAAACTCATCCACTAACCTTTGCAATTTTTCTTTAGAATCTCCCATAAGCACAGTATCATCAGCAAAATGTAACTGTGTCAATTCCCATTTTGAATTTGATTCCCCAAAATTTAATCCCACCCCTTTCCCAAACACCCCCAGCATTTACTTCCTTTACAACCCCATCTATAAATATATTAAACAACCATGGTGACATTACTCATCCCTGTCTAAGACCTACTTTTACCGGGAAGTAGTCTCCCTCTCTTCTACACACCCTAACCTGAGCCTCACTATCCTCATAAAAACTCTTTACAGCATTTAATAACTTACCACCTATTCCATATACTTGCAACATCTGCCACATTGCTCCTCTATCCACTGTATCATATGCCTTTTCTAAATCCATAAATGCAATAAAAACTTCCCTACCTTTATCTAAATACTGTTCACATGTATGCTTCAATGTAAACACTTGATCTACACATCCCCTACCCACTCTGAAACCTCCTTGCTCATCCGCAATCCTACATTCTGTCTTACCTCTAATTCTTTCAATTATAACCCTACCGTACACTTTTCCTGGTATACTCAGTAAACTTATTCCTTTATAATTTTTACAGTCTCTTCTGTCCCCTTTCCCTTTATATAAAGGGACTATACATGCTCTCCACCAATCCCTAGGTACCTTCCCCTCTTTCATACATTTATTAAACAAAAGTACCAACCACTCCAACACTATATCCCCCCCTGCTTTTAACATTTCTGTCATGATCCCATCAGTTCCAGCTGCTTTACCCCCTTTCATTCTACGTAATGCCTCCCGTACCTCCCCCACACTTTCATTCTGCTCTTCTTCACTCCTAAAAGATGGTATACTTCCCTGACCAGTGCATGAAATTACTGCCTCTCTTTCTTCCTTAACATTTAAAAGTTCCTCAAAATATTCTTGCCATCTACCTAATACCTCCATCTCCCCATCTACTAACTCCCCTACTCTGTTTTTAACTGACAAAACCATACTTTCCCTAGGCTTTCTTAACTTGTTTAACTCCAAAATTTTTTCTTATTTTCATTAAAATTTCTTGACAGTGCCTCTCCCAGTCTATCATCTGCTCTCCTTTTGCACTCTCTCACCACTCTCTTTACCTTTCTTTTACTCTCCATATACTCTGCTCTTCTTATAACACTTCTGCTTTGTAAAAACCTCTCATAAGCTACCTTTTTCTCTTTTATCACACCCTTTACTTCATCATTCCACCAATCACTCCTCTTTCTTCCTGCCCCCACCCTCCTATAACCACAAACTTCTGCCCCACATTCTAATACTGCATTTTTAAAACTATTCCAACCCTCTTCAACCCCCCCACTACTCATCTTTGCACTAGCCCACCTTTCTGCCAATAGTCGCTTATATCTCACCCGAACTTCCTCCTCCCTTAGTTTATACACTTTCACCTCCCTTTTACTTGTTGTTGCCACCTTCCTCTTTTCCCATCTACCTCTTACTCTAACTGTAGCTACAACTAAATAATGATCCGATATATCAGTTGCCCCTCTATAAACATGTACATCCTGGAGCCTTCCCATCAACCTTTTATCCACCAATACGTAATCTAATAAACTACTTTCATTACGTGCTACATCATACCTTGTATATTTATTTATCCTCTTTTTCATAAAATATGTATTACTTATTACCAAATCTCTTTCTACACATAGCTCAATTAAAGGCTCCCCATTTACATTTACCCCTGGCACCCCAAATTTAGCTACTACTCTCTCCATAACATTTTTACCCACTTTAGCATTGAAATCCCCAACCACCATTACTCTCACACTTGATTCAAAACTCCCCACGCATTCACTCAACATTTCCCAAAATCTCTCTCTCTCCTCTACACTTCTCTCTTCTCCAGGTGCATACATGCTTATTATAACCCACTTTTCACATCCAATCTTTATTTTACTCCACATAATCCTTGAATTAATACATGTATAGTCTTTGAACCCACAGATTACATTGTCAATTTGATACCACTGCGCACTATCACTACTGCACTCAGTATTGTCCTGGCAGTTGTCTGTGAGTGTAAAGTTTCCCATTTGAGTTGTCAAAAGTTTACTGTCTTAAAGAAATAAGCATTTATAAACCTGTGTTGTATTATCAGGCTCATTTGGCTGAGATGCAAGGACGAGAGGTGGAATGGGATAGAGAACGTTCCAGTTTGCGGGAGTTAATCAACACACTTAAGGATGACCGCATGTTCTACATGGAGACAGCTCAAAAAAAAGAGTAAGTTTTCAAATCATCATCATCTTTAAACAAACTGACCAATCATATTTATTAAATAATTATTGCCAGTAGCATTTATTATGTAGGTTCAGGCTTGAGAACTACAGTACTTGTCATTAAAATATGCTGGCTCCCCCTCTAAAATCATGACCATGATATAGGCTGTCCCCATGCACTTTAGGAGATCCTTCAGAGGTCTAGGAAGTGATTAACACTCATTCTTCAGGGTTTCTTGGGGTAAATTTTCCCATGACTCACAGATGGCATCCTAAAGCCATGGGAGTGGGCTGATATCCTTCTCTTAGTAGATCTCTCTATTTCAGCCCAGAGGTTCTCAAAGGGTATTCAGGTCTGGGGAGTTTCCTGGTCAGTCATGGAAGAAGGGTACCTCAGTCACAAAGCCACTAGACAGCAAATTTCATGGTGTGGCAAGGAGCACTTTTATTGCATAAAAACCTTATACCACACTGCATGAAAGAGTCGGGAAAATGGTAACAGACCAAGTCTAGGTTTGTTATTACAGTTAATTTTAATGGAGAAGTTTTTCTAGGCTTCCCTGGATGTGTTTTTGGTATGGGCTTGTCATTAGCACTGTCCTCAGGCAACCAAAGCAACCAATTCCTCACTAGACATGCACACATTGCTGGCCTCAATTATATTCTTCATTTGATGGCCTACTTTATGTAATCCAATGATCTCTGCAGTTTTTTCTGGTGTCAGCTACTTCTACCAATATCAATTCATCAATAGCCAAAAATGTCCTACGAACCACGGACCACACGATGCAAGGGGACCACGAACACAAAACTATTCATCACACAAGCCCAGAAGGCACTTAGTATGAAGCCAGTAGCCATAATTAGTACTGAGACGTCCCACTTGTGATCAGTGACAGAGGAAAGCCCACACAAAACAAAAATGATGAAGAAGGGTAGTCTGTATGTTATCCTCCAGCTGAGGTCCACTTCAGTTGAGGAGGACCTTGGTTGAAGCCCTTTATAGTGCTTATTTGGCTAACATGTAAGTGAACAGTTAAGCACTGTTTGTTTGCTCTGAGAAACCAGAATGTGGAAACAGCATTGGTTACCTTGCTAAAATTATAAAAGCAAAAAAAAAAAAATTAATGTGAAGGTAGCATATTAGGAAGGATGAATGTTTGACAGGTTGATGTTTCATATGAAGTACTTAACACCTAGTTTCTAAAACTAGCGAAAGGCTACTGTGGATACTGTGCTAGTGAGGCAGTACTAGTTTCTCATGCAGCTACCATACATTACTGCATTATAAAAGATCTGTTGTCACAGTATCTTTAATCCTTTGGGGGTTTCGGATGTACTAGTACGTCTTACGACCCAGGGTTTTTGACATACTAGTACACCTAAATTCTTGCGCCCTCAAATCTAGTGAGAGAAAGCTGGTAGGCCTACATATGTAAGAATGGGTCTATGTGGTCAGTGTGCGCAGTATAAAAAAAATCCTGCAGCACATTGTGTAATGAGGAAAAAAAAACTTTGACCGTGTTTTTGGATTAAAACAGCGACTTTATTTTCATATGGTATTTATTGTTGTATTCTAGTTTTCTTGGTCTCTTTTTATAGAATGGAAGACATATTACAGAAATTGAGATGATTTTGACTGGTTTTACCATGAAAAGTACCTTGAAATTGATATCAAAGTAGCAGAAATGTTCGATTTTTACCAAAGTTCAAAAGTAAACAAATCATGCCAAGCATCCAATACACATCAACTGGTGAGTCTTATATTCTTTCACAAGTGCGCTGATATTATTTATACCATTTCTACACTAATGCAGTAGTCTGCATAACAGTAAATCTTATTTTTTTTGTAAGAATAAAAATTCAAAGTGGAAAGCCAAAGAAATATAAGAGGGGTCTGGGGATGTGACTAATGAACAGAGAACTTGTTATTGTAGTGCCAGGAATGTTTCTCTTGTTTATTCTGGACCTTGTTCAGAAATTGGCATCATTTCAAATTTGTGTGAAATTGGCAATATTGCTAAATTCTAACCACTTTATTGGATAGTTGAAATTGGTAAATGGGTGGTTTCTTGTACTCGTTTGATAGAAAAATGGAGTTCTAGCTAAATAGTTATGATTTTTGTCGACTAGTACACTGGAATTGGCCGAAAATAGGGCTCAAAGTGGGCAAAACCGCCGATGCGTAAACATCATCAAGACCGCTAACTTCGCGAGAGCATAATTCCGTAAGTTTTCCTTCAAATTTCATACTTTTGGTGTCATTATGATCAGGAAAAGATTCTCTATCTTTTCATAAAAAAATATTTTTTTTTTTTTTTTTGGAAATTTTGGCGACCCTGAGAACAAGTCTCTGAGAGGACCTGTCGACCCCCAAAGGGTTACAGTTCACTGAGCACTGTTAGGAGGATTTGAGGCATTCACCATATTTTAGATGTTTGACTGTACTGCAGGTTCAGGTAGTAAAATAAACATTCAAGATATTATGGTGATGTGTTAGTGTTATTTTTGTATTGAAAGGTGCAACAGTCCTAGGGCAGATATTGGGTTGAAGAGTTATGACAGCTGAGTTGTTTAGGAAGCACTAGTGCCTTTGTTGGGTTGAAGGGTTGGGACGTATTAATCCAACTGTCAAACAACAACGTGCCTAGTTAATATGCCTTATATATCTCATTAAACTGTGTATAGTAGTTAGTTTTCAGTTTATATGTACCATTATTAATTTTTTTTATTGTACCAGCTGTTTGCCACCAAGGCCGGGGAACCTAAAGAAATACATTCATCACCATATATTCAATAGCTGTCTTGCCAGAAGTGTGGAAACATCACAATTCAATTGACTCTGTAATCCACAAAATTTCCACCCATGTTTTAGAGTGGAGGCACTGTACTTCCCACCCCCAAGTCTGGTTAACTGTTTCCCTGAATCCCTTCATAAATGTTACCTTGCACTCACTCCAACAGTACATCAGATGGCAAGAACCAATTGTTTCCACTCATTCTGTTCTAATATGCTCATGCATACTTTCTTTGTTCAGGTAAAAAAATATAATAAAAGAAAAATTATAGTGGTTACATATTGCTACTTGTGCTCTGATAGTGTTATACACAGGTGGAGGCATATAATTCATAATTGTGTGTGTGGTAGTTAATGTTCAGTGAGAATGATTCAGAAGTGCCGTAGATTGTTTGTTCAAATACCATTTTTATAAATGCATTCGTAATTCTAATGTCTTGAGTTTTGCTCAGTGAATATGGTAGTTCATAATTTTAAGGCATGATATACGAGTTTATTACATTACTCTTGTTATGGTGGATCTGTGTTGTGATTGTAGGGAAGCCACAGCTCAGCAGACATCATTCGCATCTTCCCTCTACCGTGATCATCTGAGTCTTGTCAGGTCGTGCATCTTATTTTTATTCTATGTATTTATTCAGCTTTTGCTTTTATGCACTCAAATACCTCATTCATCCAGAATATATATATTTCTAAATGTTTTTCTGTATACAGTTTTGTACTGATTTAAATTTTGATTATGTAGTTTATACAGTGATTTAAAAATAATGTAGGAGTTCATTATAATTATTGTAGAATAAGAACAAGAAAATGTAAAATGAGTTTTTGTTTTATAAAGTATTAATCTAGCTTTAGTAATTGTAAAGTGTTAATCTAGCTTTAGTAATTGGCAAAATTTGATTAATATTATCATTTTCCTTTAGATATTAAAATGGATAAATAAATAATTTATGCATAGTCTTTTTCTCCTCCATGAAGTTTTTTAATAGACATATTTGCAAAAATTTTAAATTGGGAAACATTATCTGCTTGGTTATCCATATTTGCACTTGCATTTCTATAACTATGCATTATTTTTTTAAAAAGTAATCTATTAAAATAAATGTCATCTATAGACTAGACAGAGTTTAGCTAAGCAAGAACTGGATGATAGAATTATTAACCTCAGCATGTCTGCAGTGTTGGTGCCATGTTAGTGAAAGCCTTAATTTTTTCTTACATTGATATGTAATGTGAGATGCATGGCTATTGTATTGTAAAGTACGTGTGCAGTAGGCTGGTGAAGTGAACATGGACAAAAGCAAGGCAAGAAGAGTAAGGGAGTCTGAACAGTAAAATAAATGAATGTGATCCATACCACGGGCAGGGATAGAACCCGCAATCAGAGAGTCTCAAAACTCCAGACTGTTGGGTTAGCCACTGGACCAGCTAGCCACAATGGCTAACGCGACGGTCTGGAGTTTTGAGACTCTCTGATCACGAGTTCTATCCCCGCCCGTGGTATGGTTTGTTTGCAATCATGTCATTACGATTTCGTGAGTCAATAACGAATGTGATATTGAAGAGAAGGAGCATGAAAGAAGTGAATATTTTAATATTTGGCAGTGGATGTGTTGGTAGATGAGTCTAAGAAAGATAAGCTGAATAACAGGAAAAAAATAATATGAGAAAGAAGATAGCAAGAGTGTTGAGACTAGAGAAAAAGTGTCTGTGAAGGCAAAAAAGGGAATGTATCAGATTATCTGCATAGTTGTGCCAACAATTTTGTACATATGTTATGTATGGTCTTTGAATGTTGCAACAAGGAAGAAGCTGGAGATGGTGAAAGTCAGATTTAAGATCAGTAAGTGTTGTAAATGTTAGGCAGGGAATAAGGAGTGAAGATTAGTGTGGTGACATGAAAGGTATAATGCACAAATAACCCGTACATAGGAGAAAGAAACTTAGGATGTTTCGGACCAACTTGGACCTAAGTTTCATCCAGCTGTGTGCAGGTTATTTGTGTATTGTTCCAGTCACTGTATTTTGCCTTTTTATTCCTTCTTGAAAGGTATAATTTAGGGAACAGAAGAATGAGTGAGAGGATATTGGGCTTTAGCATTCACTGAATAATTTTTTTTTTTTTGTTGTTATTGTTGTAAATTGCTTGCTTGGACATTTTGTCAGAGGTGAATTGAAAAGACAAAACTGTCACCCAAAAGTCTTGAATGGAATACCAGTAAGAGTGAAGTCTGATAGAGCATACTTAATCTCAAAAAATAGAAAACAGTGTGTATATGTTGACATGTTTTACATAACTAGGATCATAATTATAATCTCTAGACCTTCCAGTATTAGATCATATTTTTAATTAATATTCATCCCCAAGATGTGGCTTGTTGTCTGCTAAGTTTATGCTTCTCTTTCACTTGTATAGAAATTTTATGTAAATGACTGTAATAACTTCCCACACCTTAGGATGTATAACTTGGGGCCACCTTTCTTATGAAAATCAATATTAACACTATTGCAGCCATATTAACATAAATATTGGTACTGTCCTCCTATAGAAGGGCTTTACAAAGTTACCAATAGCCAAGCCTGGCCCAAAGTCAGACTATGGGAGTAGGAAAAATGTTTGAAACTATCATAATCATAGGTAATTATCATACTTAATTAAGGAACAAGTTATTTTGATAATGAAAGTTTATAAATTAAAGGGGGAGCTAGGATAAATAATAAGCAACTATTGGGAGAAAGGTGGGCTAGAGAGAGCACAGGTAACAAGGGGGGGGTTGAGGAGGTATGGGGCAGATTTTAGAATGCAATGTTAGTGTGTGCAGAAGTTTGTGGGTATAGTGGGGTGAGTGCAGAAAGGGAAATGTATGAGAGTATAGTGGTACCAACACTGTTGTACGGGTGTGAGGAATGGGTTTTGAATGCTGCAGTGAGTAGGTGATTAGAGGCGTAAAGAGTTTTGTTGTAGGGCAATGTGTGGTGTGAATATTATAGAGAATTCAGCGTTTGAAGATAAGGCAAAAGTGTGAAGCCATTTAGAGAGGATGGAGAAAAATAGGGTGACTAAGAAGGCATATAAATCTGGAGAAGAGGGAAAGAGGGGTAGGGTTTATTCTAAGAAAGGTTGGAGGTAAGGGATACGAGGTTTTGAGTATTAGGGACTTGGACATCCAGCAGGCTTGTGAGCTTATTAAATGGGAATGAGAAAGCAAGTGGATTTTATGATTTGACATACTGTTGGAATGTGAACAAGGTAACATTTATGAAGGGATTCAAGGAAACCAGTTAGATGGACTTAAGTCATGGAGATTGGAAGTACAGTTCCTTCACTTTAAAGAAGGGGGTAGGGAAGTTACGGTTTGGAGGTCATCTGAATCATGATGTTGGTACCCTTCTGGCAAGGCAGTGATTGAATGAGTGACAATTAAAGCATTTTCTTCTTTGTTGGGTCATCCTACTTGAGTAGGAGATAGCAAGAATCCTAAAAAAAAAAAAAATCTGTACAGGAAAGTGATATCAGCTTATGAAACAGTGTGTCATATTAAAATGTAAATGACCATTGTATAGGATATGGCACCTATTTTCTTTTGATACTGCATGCAAAACTTGAATTAAAGTCCAACTGTAGAATTTTTTTGAAAATTTACATACTGTACTTTATATAATTTTCCTGAATCCTTTTTTTTTTTCCACCAAGTGTTAGTGTAAATGAGATTAAACTGATATTTCAAGAAACAGGGCCTCTTCAGTGCTCTGCACCTAGGTGGTAGCTTTAGTTAAAAAATAGAACCAACTTTATGACTTTTATGAAAATTGTCTTGTCATAATTGATCTTACTCACCACCTGATGTAGCTATGAGGGTCTTGGAACTAAGCCTGAAATATATAGCAACCATATCTCATTTTTGTTAATAGTTAGCATTTTTTATATAGTATAAGTATCTTAAACGTTATAAATAAAAATTACAGTATATTCTATTTTTTGTAATTTTTATTTTGTTTTGCATTTTTTCCAAAAGGCTTTATTAAATCATTGCAACTATGTTTAAAGGAATACTGGTATTGTCCTCTCAATGGCAGGTTTCACTATGAGGGCTTAGTAATACTCTAATGAATGAGTTATTTAAAAAAAAAAATGATTAAGATTTTCCCCAGCAGAGTGAATGATCTTAACAAACCCTATATTTGAAACAGAGTTAGAAAAGATTATAATTTTTCAAAGTTTTCAATTATATATGGAAGAATAGGGAAGAACAAGGGAGTGAATTACAACAAGAGTATTATGATCAAATATGCAAGGTTAGTCACCATGTGGTTAAATAAATCATGATTCAATCAATTTGTAACATAGAAAAATATTGATACGCAGTAATATTATCATAAAATGATTTTGTAGCAGCAGTTTTGATTAAAACTGTGATAATTTACATATTTTAGCCAAAAACAAAGTATGTCAGAAAATGCCTCCAACTATACTGACACATTGAAATATGCAATAAAATAGTTTTATTTTTGTTATGGATTAAAAATTTAAATACAGGTGGGCCCCATTTATACAGCAGGTTAAGTTCCGAGCTACTGCTGTTAAGCTAAAATTGCTGTAAAGTGAATCTTAGTCTTTTATCACTTTCAAATGCATATAAAAGCCTGATAACATGTTAACACTATCATATATTAAGTGAACAGTACATCTAGACCTAAAACAAAATGCATGTACAGTACACATATTACTTACCTTAAAAATATTTTCTTCCTTAGCTGATAGTGAGTGGTGAATACATTTACTGCAGGAAATCTGAATAAATGAAGAATGGGTATACTAACTGAAAACCACTGTATTAGCGAAATGCTGTAAAGCGAATCATCGTAAAGTGGGGCCTGCCTGTACTATAACTGAAAGAATGTTTTAAGAAATACATGTAGTATGTACAATCTGTATGTTTTTCTGCTCCATAGTACAGAATGCATCCTGAATCTTAACATCTTAGCTCTTGTACATTTCACAAGTTTGATTTACCTGTCTCAAACCTGAACCCCTTACAATCTCTGCTTCCATTTCACATATGATTTGTTGTTACTCTCATCCACTTAACAAAAATAACATTTAGTTATATTTTTCCTACACATTCAGTGGCAGATTAAAAGCAAGTGGATTCCTGGGGCAATACTTTGTATGCAGTTGACTGTTCTTGCTTATCATTAATTGCTTAGACTGATGCATAATAATACCACACAATTCAACTGGAAATTAAGAGTGACATTTCTTTTATTCCCTTATAGTGAATTTTTATACAAATTGTAACCTAGGGTGTCCCTCATATCTGGGTGTCCCTCCCACTCAGCCTGGATATTTATCTGAATGCATTATCAATATGACTCTCATATTTCTCACTACCTTCTTATCTACTTGAAGGAAGTGCATCTTGATTCAGGATGTTCTATAAACCTTTCTGTTATTTGGATATTTTGAACTTTACTCCAAGTATTTCCCAGCTGGTAGCTTGCAGATTTTCCCCTCATTAAGTACTCTTGCTTTAGCTTATGTAATATGCCTGCTTTCTAACACTAGCTGCTATTCCACTATCATAGTTAAATGTAACTATAGTACCAAATAATTAAACTTTTAACACAACCATATTATATGTAATCAAGGTAAAGTACACTTTAAGTGAACTTGTGTGTAAATGTGTTGGAAGTATAGTAAACCCTCCATATAGTGAACTGGGAAGGGGGGGGGGGTCAATATTGGCAGTTGTAATTAACAGAGAAGAGATTGTTTGGCTGTGTTTATAAAAATGGACAGTTGTGTAACTAATGGACTTAATCTGTTGTTTCCAAATTGATTGACCCAGCTGATTTTGTTTTGTATTTCTGAAGTCTGTTATTGTATATGGATATCTCTTATATGGAGGGTTTACTGTTCCTATGTATTTTTCACAATAAAAACACTTGAGCGAGTGATTTTGATATGATTGTAACATTTATGTTTAAGGAGTTTGTTAGAGGAACAGTGCCAGAGAATCCCACTTAGGAATTGCCCACTGTTGTTAAGTCAACAATAAAGTTAATAAATATAATATGTCAGCAATCTTTTGTAACTTCCCTTGTGTCTGCCTTTGGATGTTTACAATAATTAAAATAATGAGGATAGCACTTGCAGTTGAGATTACACAAGACAGTTTTAATATGATGCTGAGATCACTTAAAAGTGAATTGTCAAGCACTTTTTGTGTATTATAAGCACTGGGCAGTCATGGTTCATGACTGCTCTTGTAGAATTCTCCTTACCTAGCAAGGTTTGCTGTATCATTATATGACTCCTCTTAAATAGAAGAAATGATGCAGGTGCAGAAAACAATAAAGGCTTATAGTATGGCGATGTCTCATTCTGTGTACTGTAGTTTGAAATTTGAGTAAAATACCAAAACTAAAACCTTGCTCTTCACCTGTCTTTGCTTCATTATTGTTGAGAGTACTGTACATCTTTGTATGACCTGTGTTGTATCTTAATTATTGAAATAATTATCTCCTATATGAGAATATTTTTGAACAGCTCTGAGTTGGACAGTTTGCGGACAGAGATTCAGACATTGCAGCAGGAAATCTTGGCTCTCCACGAGACTCAACGGAAGCAGAAGGAAAGAGTACCTGGTACACTGTCACAACGATCCTATCGAGGCTCTGGTAAACAAGTGCTATCAAGTGGTAAGTATTCGAATAACTTTTTAGTCATGTGCCTTCCATCGGCCTTTTCCTCTGTGACTCCATTATATATTCCCCTACACCTTCCATTAGCCTCCTTGTATAACAAGCACCTTTACTCATAACATTAATAAAACATTAGTTTCTTTCTTTAATATTGTTGTAACATTAAAGTGACCAGGTCAAAATTACAGAAAGTGTTTGTGAAATACTATTAAAGTAAAGTTTTTGAACATACAGTGTAATAATACTCTTGAAATTTAGGGTGAGGATAGAGACCAGATGAGTAGGTGGGGGGGGGGGATATTTCTCTTATTTTTCCCTGGCATATGTTATCTCTTTGGTGCCTGGCCTAATTAGTTACTTTCACACTTTTACCTTGTGTTTCAGTGCTTGAAAGCTTTGTATATCTTTACCATAATCAGTTAAGCTGAAAGAGACTGATCTGCACGATACATTATTGGATTTCCACATTGACAGTTGTATGACATTCATAGTTTCATATAATTTCTTTTCTGAAATTAATCAGTTTTAAATTTTGTCAGTTACTGTTTATCAGACTTTTTCTTTCCTGGATTTTCTTTCTTATACATAATTGTTGAATTGATCTAATATTTAGACACATAATTACCAGGCTCAAACTGATACCAAGATACGAAATTATTCTGTTATTGCTGTGCAGTGTTTGGCTCTTACAGTTATGGAGATAGTAATTGAAATTTATTTTGCATTAATATTGGTAGAATTACTGACAGTATGTTAAGTAAAAGGGTACAAGTGTAAATAACGTGACATTTTATTGAGGCAATGTTTCACTCTCCAGGAGCTTTATCAAGCCTTGATAAAGCTCCTGGAGAGCAAAACGTTGCCACAATAAAAATGTCACATCAGTTGCATTTGTATGAAATTTATTTTGCAATCCTACCTCTGCTACCCTGTTTTTGAAATAATTACAGCAATGACTACACTTGCTGAAGTTTAAGTTTTATGCCCATGATAATAATATACTTGCTTTGGTAGAACTCTAATGATGTATAAATATCATCATAGGTTCCCGTTCAGGTTCAAGCAGCGATGCCAACACCCCTACACGTCGTACTCGTCCATCTAGCGCACGCCTCCAGCTCCTGGCACTCGACCACAACGTTCTCCTAAATCATCTAGTGAGCCACGTGAGATTCCCACACCTAGTAAAATAAAAAAGTCCACTGTTCAACAGGTCCCAAAAAAGACACCACCACCTAAATCACCATCCAAGACTTCCTCTTCACCTTCTAAAAGTTCAGCTAGCAATATACCAAGTTCAGTACATTCAACAAGACCAGGTAATAGCAATAGGAAACCAGCAACTTCATCATCAACTTCCACTCCCAAAGCTAGTCCATATGGATCTCCAAGACACGGCTCCACGGGTCGAGTGTCATCTTCAGTCTCGTCAAAAACTCCAACACCTACAGGCTCACCCCGCAAAAATGCAAGTTCCATGTCTCCTCTTCATAAGCCTTTTGGAGCATCTCCCCAGCACAGGTTAACTGGCTCTGTATCTCCACAACCTAGACATGCTGGTCTGAGCTCTCCTGCCAAATCATCCACATCTCGGTCTTCCTCTAGGACTTCCACTCCGTCTTCATCAAAATCTTCCCCACTTAAAGTAAATGCTACCAGCAAATCCCCTTCTAAAGTTCCTCAACCTAAAATTGGTTCCAGTCCCAGCAAGAGTGGAAAGAGACAAGAAAGTTCCAGCCCATCCAGGTCTCCTCGCAAACAGGATATCATTAAAGAGTCTTCAGCTGTGAGTACTTTTGCTCTTATATTGTGAATAATTATCGTAGGTACACCATACTAGGAAAAGACAAAGAAGAATATACAGTGGACCCCCGAGTTTCGTGATTAATCCGTTCCAGAGAGCCTGCCGAAAGTCGAAATTCACGAAACTCGAAACCATTTTCCCCATAAGAAATAATGGAAATAAAATTAATCCGTTCCAGACACCCAAAAATATTAAAATAAATTTTTTTTTTCAAATTAAATAAAGATTTACATACTGAAAACAATCAGAAATGAAGTACATGCATTTAAAAAAATAATAACAACATTACACTTACCTTTACTGAAGACTTCACGGTGGAAGACGGGAGGAGGGGATAGGAGGAAGGTGTACACTATTGTTTGAAAGGAGAATCTCCTTCCATTAGGACTTCAGGTATGAAGTCCTTATCTGGGGTTACTTCCCTTCTTTGTATTTTAAAGACACTGGCACTGGGAACAACTTGAGAGCCACTGGACCCCTGTCGCACAAAATATCTGTCCAGAGAGCTCTGTTTCTGGCGTTTCTTTAAGATTTGTCTGAAGTGGGACACAATACTGTCATTGTACATGTTGCCAATATGGCCTGCAAGAGCTTTGTTAGGGTGAAGTTCATCCATAAATGTTTGCACTTCAGTCCACTTTGCACAAATGTCCTTAATCTTTGAAGAAGGCACCTTCCTCCATCTCTTTTCCTCCTCCTCTGCAGCAGTTTCCTGAGCTGTAGTATCTTGCTGTTGCAGATGAAGCTCTTGCAGCTCTTCAGTGGTTAGCTCTTCCCTGTGGTCTTCCACCAACTCCGTAACATGCACTCCACTCTCATATTTTTCAATTATTTCCTTCTTGAATTCGATCGCGTTCCTCACTTTCTTTACCAAAGGGCTTGCACTAGCTTTCCTTGGGCCCATGGTGACTTATTTAGCAGTTGCAATCACAAAAAACAATGGATTATTACGTATGTACCCGTGGGGTGATGGTCACGTGTTGGTAAACAATGGCACACCGAGTGTGAATGGCGTGGGAGACTGGCTTGGTGTGCGCAGTGATGGGCGGACGGTCGCTGAATCACGAGTCTAATCATGAAACTCGAGGCCAAATTTTGCCAAAAAAAAACTTGCCGAAAGTCGAATTTCACGAAAGTCGATGCTGCCGAAACTCGGGGGTCCACTGTACATAGTAACAGGAAATATCATTGATTAATGTTTGTTAGGTTATGCATAAAATCTGGGCTGTTGAGGTGGTTTGGTCATATAGAAAGATTGGAGCTAGATGGGTTGTTAAAGGAGTGTATAAATATAGGGTAAATGGAAGAAGGAATAGAGAACATCTGAGGAAGAATTTGAGGATAGGTGTGAAAAAGATATTTTTCAGTTAGGGCTTTGATTTTGAATGTGTATGTGATGACATAGCATTAGTATGTAAGGTAATATTTTTTAAGAGTTTTCAAGTAAACCTGCTAACTGGAGTTGAGTTTTTGCACACTGAAAGTGGAAAAAAAGTTGCAGTTTGATGGGTCAACATTGGGCCACAGTGTCTGTGATTTTTGTAATTCAGCTGGTAAGCAAGTAATGGTGAATATATTCTTAGAGTCATCCTGACTTGGTGGGAAATGTCTAGTGAATTGAAAAAAAGATCATTACCAGTGTAAGACTTGAGCCTTACCTTGCAAAAAGTTTACCATGTACATGTGTATATCTTTGTTGCTCATTGTTACTGTATGCAACAATTATTTTGGCTGGCTGGCCACTTTATGAAAGGTGGTGCACTTAGCAGGCCAAACACTTAGTATAGATCCAAATACATAATATTAGTACAAATTAAAGCTTGGTATTTGTGCATAAGGAATATAAGGACAGTGTTAATTAACATACATATAGATTTCTGGAAAATATGTTGTGCATCTCTTAGCATTCTTTTATTAATACTAACAATAAACAAATATTACTACAACTAGTAAAAACATTCAGTTAAGATGCAACAGCTTTAAGTACCATACATCATTGTAATAAGAGGACTGATCTTGCTGGCTAATATTCTTCCTTGAGAAGTTGTCTATCTTTCCTTTATGAGGTTGTGTGATGGCAGATTTTTGCTGTTTTGGGTGCTCATCTCCCACTTAATAATGATAATGATTTTTTTTTCCTAATGATAACTGCAATGGTAGGCCACAGAAATAATTCTGGGGGTATGATTTGGCCCATGGGACACATCTTGCCCACCCATATTATATATCTTAAAAATTACACATTCTGTCATCAAATTAAATACAGTCTCTGCAAGAAGTTATGATACCGGTTGCAGGTCAAACTTGATCAAATAGGCATTTGGCAACAAATGGTTGAAGTCTGGATATTGTACACCAATTGCAAGTATGGCCATGCAGCATCAAGAGTGGGCTCATTTGCCTTTGGGTCAAACTTTTTACCATGTCATATGTGATCGATATTAATGTCAGAAGAAGATAATGTTTTGTTCTCTTAACATTATAATACATTATTTATTTAGTAATGCCTTCATCAAAGCCCCACTGAACATAGTGCAGAGTTTGATCTAAAGACAGATGCTCCCACTCTTGAAACTGAATGAGCCCACTTGCAATTATTGTATCAGTTGTTTCCAAGATTTATTAAAAGTTCAGACTCCAACCATCTGTTGTCATATGTTTTAACGGTCAAATGTTTGCCCTGCAGCCGTACAGACTATACATTTCAAGTCTTATCACAGTAACACTTCAGCTGTGTCTGAATAATAAATTAAGTAATGAATGTTTACTCAGGAGGAAGATGAGAGAGTTCTGGCAGAGATTCTGTTTCACCAAGAAACAGGCAATAGCGGTGAGCCATCCAGTGCTTCTTCCATAGCCCGACAGAGAACTATGACAATTAGTGTTAATGAGGATGTGTCCCCTGCAAATAATAAGGCTGATAGCGTGGAAGTTGAGCGTGCAAGTAGTAGCAAGTCACTGATAAGGCAAGACACTGTTACTCTTAGTAAAACAGATGATGAGAACACCTCAGCACAGTGCAGCAAGAGGGATCTCCGACAAGACACAATTGTTAGTGGCGAGGAGGAAATTTCATGGCAAGAAAAGAATGGTAGTGATAGCATGAAGAAATCGGCAGACATGTCAAACTCTGGTGCTTCTCAAGATAGTGAGGTAAGGCACACACCTGTGTGTTACCTTGTATCTCATGCTGGGCTTATATTTTGTACATACTTTTAATTTATTTTTAAAATATATTCACATTTTATGGCTCATTAAAGCTTTTGAAAGAGTAAGAGGAAAAGATACTTGGTTAATGTCTACTTTCTATTGATTAATGTTACTATAGTTTATAGCATGTATTAATATTATAAATAGTTTTTGATATGGATTGAGGTGTAAAATATAGTGATGAGGGCAGTTAATGTAATTTTGTAACTAAGCTGAGAATCTTTCATGGAATGTTGGATGCTGGCGAGATGGGTTGAATGTGTTTCCATACCCTCTACCTTGTATTGTTAGTCTTGGAATTTGACTCGTGCATGACTTCTTGCTTTTACATGCCATTTTACCTGCTACCCCTCCAAGACCTCATCCAGTCATTAAGAGTTCATATGGAAATATAAACACATATGCAGTATAATGTGATCCTTTACTGACAACGTTTCGCCCACACAGTGGGCGTTTTCAAGTCACAAACTGATCTGTTTGTGACTTGAAAAAGCCCACTGTGTGGGCAAAACATTGTCAATATTATACATTATACTGCATATGTGTTTATATTTCCATTGTGTCGGTATTTTATACCATTTATTTCCAAGAGTTCATATGGTGGAAGTGTTTCTTTTTCGGGTCACCCTGCCTCGGTGGGAGAAGGCCTTAAATCTACAGATTCAAGGTTGCACATTCCCAGTTTCCACAAACCCCATCCACTCTGTAAGAACTGCCTGGTGGATCCCAGTCCCTACAAAGACCCTGAGAGAGATCTGCTCTTCAATGGTTGATGCCAATATAATCAATATCTTGCTCTCCTCATTTTCAGTACTCTTCCACTATAAAGATGTGCAGTATTATTTTGACTTTCTTTCATTATATATCTTATGTACAATGCTAACATTTTTGGAATTAAAATACAGCACAAAGTGTGGACTAGTCTAGGAAAAATTGTCCACTTCTGTATATAAATTGGGTAAAACCTTGAATTAATATTTCATTGTTGCTGTACATTTATTTGTAAATTTTCTTACCACACTTGTCTATTTTCAATTATGAAAATATTCTGATAAATTCTTGTAAATACAGCTTATTCACATGTGCTTAATCTTAGTATGCAGTTCACAAATTGTTAATACAGTTGGATAATTGATCAGTCATGCCTAAACTTCTAAGGTAAGGAAACTTTTGTGATTCCATTGTCTTGGTGACTATTTTTCTTCTACATTTAGTTGCACTTTTTTGATAGCATTACTCTTAAATATCTTTAAATGTATTTCACAATAGCTTATAAGAGTTCAATGTTCCTGTAATGAAACTCGGATGCAAAATTCTCCGCCATTAACTCTGCCATTAACTCTTCACTTTCATTCTTTAAATTTTGTGTAATGTTAAACAAATATTTATCACAGTGTTTTTCTGTACTTTTAATATCAGTAACTATTTTTTTCAAATTTATATCTTAGTTACTTTAGACTTGTATTTGCTTGACTGTCTAAATTAGCAAGAACAGTAGAATTTAATTTTTATCTACAAAGATTCTTGTTGCCATACGTATACAGTAGACCCCCTGTGGTTTCAGTTATCCACCTTTGAATTTTGCATAGTAATGGCCCCCCAAAGTGCCAAAATAGAGAAGCTGGCTGTTCTTCAAAGCCTAAGGGAAGCCGTGAAGTGCTTCCCATCAGTGATAAAGTGATACAGTGATAATTCTCCACTTCTTGTGTATAATTTATCAATTAAACCTTATAATAGGTATGTATAGGACTTGTATATAGGGTTTGCTACTATCCATGGTTTCGGTATGCACGGCAGGTCCTTGGGACTTATCCCCCGTGGATTAGGGGTTTCCTACTGTATAACCATATCCTATATCTACTGTCTTTCCCATCTATCATCATATTTTTCATGTGCCAGTAATAACTTCACATATTATTGTTTTCCTGTTATAATTTTCTTGGGTAACTGCTGTACATATACTGTATGCACAGTAATAAATTTCTTATTTTGTCTCAAGGATTTTAGACATAGCAAAAGAAATGCTAAACCCTGGGATAAACCTGTTGTGCTGTATTCTTATGAATGATAAATTGTTTCATAATAATTTTGTTTATTATAAGATTAAAACACATTCATAAGTAGCTTATGTCAGCATTATTCCAGGTATTGAGTTTTTAACACTAAAAAATTGCAGTTAAATGCTTGAAGTTTTGTGTCTAGTGATATAAATTTACTGTATACATACTTCTAGGAGTCATTTTTCAGTTGTGAAATGGGATGTACATATATATAAAATGACTTTCTCTTAAGTATGGCACTTGTGTAGTCCTTGTTGTAATGCACTTGACCTCTTCTTTATGGGAATATGAATATCATGTACTGTGTCATGGTTCTGAAATGAAGCATGTGTAGTACCATTAGTACACTGTTTTGTAGAAAGGATTGAAATTTACCTACACAATTTTTGCATGCAGCTGAGTGATACTCATGAAGTAATTATGAGCCTTCTCAAGGCCCATATACATCGATCACAGGAATTACTAAAGTTGCGGAGGCATCAGGAGAATAGGGTACTTTCTTAAATGTTTATTTTGCTTGTAGCATTTAGTTAACACTGAATTGCAAAGCTAGGTGGATGATTTTGAAGGAAATTACATTTAATAGATTATAAGGACTCAGTGACTTAGAAAATTGAGTTTTTGTCTGGAATTATGAATGTTAAACCGTGGTATGCTGCACATATCCCTTGGGAGGTAAGCATGTGACTACTCAGCAATTTATTGGCATAGTAATAATTAACTACCAAGCACAGTTGAACTGGAAGATTTACATCAGGACTTGCACAGAATGAAATTCTGAGACCTGATGCTTATCTGATTGAAATTTAAAGTATTTTTCTTTCATTAACTATCTGAGCTAACTTGGGTGACTGAAAAATTTAATTTGCATCCAGTTGTGATGCAAAAATTTAACGTTGGAAAGTCAGTTGTAAAATCTCATTTTCAGAGCTCTTGCAGCTGAAAGTGTTCCAATTAACATACAACTTGCTTCAAATATGTATATGTATTCTCAGCAAATGTTTTGTAGTTGGTGGTTATCAACTTCATTTTGTTGGTTCATAGTGTTGTCTCCTACTCACCTCCCTGGATATTGTGCAAGTTTAGTCAGTTTTTGTTGAAGGTCTTGTGCTCGTCTTTAAAGTACGCTGGGTGGATGGCGCTTGGCATAATTTAATGCCCAAATTAATACCCTACCCTGGTAAGTTTGTGAATGAGATAAAGTTATGCTGGCTTTACATCTTGAAGCATGTCTTAGGATTCCCTAAGCCTGTTGGCTACATCCTAAGTGCCTTCTGGACTTGTGTGGTGGATAGTGTTGTGTCCGTGGTCCCCCTTTGTGCCATGTGGTCTTGAGGGCTGAGTTTGACATTTTTTGGTTATTGATGAATTAATATGGGGAGGAGTAAGTCAATGACACAAGACAATTGCACAGATCATTATACAAGGCAGACCATCAAACAAAGGAAACAGCAGAAACCAGGAAAGAATGATGGAATTTACCCTATGAAACCATAGACAGTTGCAGGATGCCCTAAAGTGCAAGAAATGGCCTATTTTGAGGTTGCGAGTTTAGTAGGGGGCCAGCATACTTTAAGGACGAGCACTGGAGGTCAGTTTCTTCTCTTCCAGGTGTACTACTGTTTGGTATTAAGCTTATAGACATTGAATGAGATGGTTAAAATTTTGTCTGAAATTGTTTTAAATTTGGAGTTCATAGTAGACTAATATCTTCACATTGCCCATGTTTTGTTCTGCAGCAAAGGATTGGCCTGGAGGATGTGTGCTCTCTACTTGAGTCACATATAGGCCGCAGTATTAAGGTCTACACCATTTATGCTGGGGAACCTGTACTGGTATTGTCAGCCTAGAGATCTTTCCTCAACTTGATTTTCATATTTTTTCTTAATTTTATATAACAATATATGGAAAACTGAATTTTTGTATTCAGCCATATTATTAAGCTATCTAGTCATGGAATCCAGAATAATACTATACCGTATGTGGCTGCAATAGAATTAAATGTGTAATCTCTCATATAACTTCAATGAAATTTCTCTCATACAAATTTCCTCTTAAAGTCAGTAGCTGATTTCTTATAGTAATATATGGTGAAGCAGCATTGTAGAATTTCACTATAAATTAAGTGTCATGAAGTGTAGCTGATACAATATTTCCTAGCATATCCTTTTCATTAATACAGTACACTATTTTGATTAGTATCTTGAGTATCGTAAATTTTGCATTGAATTTAAATTCTGTGTATTGTAGAGTGTTCAGTGGTTTCAAGAATTACAATAAAGAAAGCAGTATATGTTGGAAAGGTAATGGTGAGAATGAGAGTTGAAGAAATGGTTAACCTTACCAGTATTGTGTAACAGCTGTGGGGTATATTGTTATCTTATAAATAAGCTGTTTTGTTTGACAGTGTGTGATGTGACTATTAGGCAGAGAATTTTGAGCATGGAGATTAGAAGATGGAATAGTTACCAAAAATATAATTTAAGAGGGGTGAGGAGGGGTTGTTGAGTTGGTTTGTGCATTTAGAGAGGATATTACAGAATAGTATGACCAAGAGGGTATATAAATCTGGGCTGGAAGGGTGGAAGAACAGGGGTCATCCCAGGAAAGGCAAGGGAAGGGGGTTAAATGAAACTTTGAGTGATATGGGTTTGAACATCCAATAGTCTTGTGTATGTTAGTTGAATGTGAGTATGTAGTTAATTGAATGATGGTGAAAGTATTTTTTTTATTGTCACCCTACCTCAGTGGGACATGATCATTGTGTAAAAAACAAATAAGAGTGCTTAAGTAATAATAATAATTTAAATAAGAGTATACAAATGCACTTATTTACATTGATGTTTGAAATTTGATTATTTTTTTTTAGTTATGCAAGTTAATGTTTATTGTAATGTGTATTTGCTCAAGATATTTTGACACTAAATAATGTTTAGAAAATGTTAATATGGAGTTGATGCATTGCTTAATCTTGAAAAATTATCTGAAGGATTAATACAGAATACCAGGGTACATAAGTACCTTGGTATTCTGTATTAATTGTAGTGTAGGTGATTTGAAGCACACTCATCTTAAAGTGATACTAAATTTTGCTGAATAAATACAGGTAATGCAGTACTTGATAGACCTAAGATTTATCACACACTCTTTCAGTCGCCTCTCCTAGCCTCACCTCAACTCTTCCTTTCCTATGCAGTTTGTATCCTGTATATGACATAGTAAACATCTAAGCAATTTGAAATGTTATCCCAGTAAACTCATTCTCAAACATGTCTTTTCACATATTGAGAATAGGAAAAAGAAAAACTTTATAAAATTGGGATATTTGAATGTGTGTGGATGTAGTGCAGATGATAAGAAAGAGATGATTGTTAATGTTATGAGTAAAAAGAAGCTGGATTTTCTGGCTATAAGGAGAACAAAGCTGAAGGGGGCATGAGAGTTTCAGTGGGGAGAAATAAATGGGATTAAGTCAGGGTATTTGAGAGAGTTAGAGCTAAGGAAGGAATTGCAATAATGTTGAAGGATCAGTTATGACAGGAAATGAGGGAATATAAATGTTTAAATTCAAGGAATATGTGCAGTAAAATAAGGGTTAGTTGCAAAAAAGTGTGTTATGCTAAGTATTTATGCACATAGAGAAGAGAGGAGTATGAAGGGGAGAGATTTTGGGAGACAAATGGTATTTAGAAAGTTTTGAACCAAGTGAGAGAATATTTGTGGTAGGAGACCTAAATGCTGGTGGGATCGACTGTTGTAGAGGGCATAGTAGGTAAACTTGGAGTGCTAGGGGTAACTTATAAAGGGAAGCCTTTTGATTGAACTTCGTAAAAAAAGAGGTTCAGTAATAGGTAATACATATTTAAAAATAAGTATAAATAAGTATACATGGTGCTAATATTAATGCTTAGCACTGAGACTTGTCTGCTTAGTTGAGTCAGTCTGATATGGGACAGCCAGAAGTTGAATGCTTATCATGAGGTAATCAACTTTCTATTCACTTAGTATCTGAGACTCTTCTACTTCTCACCACCATCCTTATGTTTAATAAATGAATGAGATATATACATTGTTAAGGATGGACATGAATTTTGATAAGAATATAAATATGGTAAAGATTCTGTTTCACCATGTGACATTTATGATGGAAAATTGTTGGAAAAACTGATGTGCAAAGTTGTGAGAGATTGTCACTACTTAAATATATTTTTATTCTCATCAGCTATCCTGATTTTCTTCACCTGTTAGCTTAATCAGTACTTGGTGTTTTTTTTCGTTATAAATGTATGGAAGTAGAAGTTCAGCTTATGCATGATTGATAGCACATCACAAGATTATATGTAGCTCTAGCTTGCTCTGATGTATGATATATGGGTAGTCAGTATTCATCATCTTAGGTAAATAATGGCTGCAACACAAATTACCATTATCTTTTTCCTCTTAGATACCATTTAATCAGTATGTGGTATTTATAAGAAATAACTATCAGTATTTGCAAAATTCATAGGTATGTATTATTGGATTTTCAGAATAAATTAAATGTTATACCTTAAATGGCTTTTAGTCATAACTATTTAATAGAGCTTTATTAATATCAGTAAAAGTGGGACTGTCTTAACCTTTTCACTATCCAGACCCCTCAAATTAATTGCTCTTGTATCCACTTTTAAAAAAAGAAATCTCAAATGGTAGAAAATTTTTCTGAAGGTAATGACACCATAATTATGAAATTTGATGGAAAACTTATGGAATTACAGTTGCAAAGCTAGCGGTCTGGGTGGAATTTACACATTGGCAGTTTTGCCAACTTCGAGTCCTAGTTGAAGTCAAATCTGTTGCTCCTTTCAATCAAATTCTTAGCTATTTCACTAATGGCTAACAGATATGTATAAATAATGTAATGTTTACAATAATTTTTATTAATACAGTGGTACCTTGGTTTTTGTATGCCCTAGTTGTTGAAAATTCTTGGAGAAAATTCTCTATAAAATGTATTTTTTTTTTTTTTTTAATATTTTTGGGTGTCTGGAACGGATTAATTGGTTCCGTTCCAGACACCCAAAAATATTAAAAAAAAAAAATACATTGTATAGAGAATTTTCTTCAAGAACTTACTCCAACTAGGATATACGAAAACTGAGGTTTCACTGTATTTTACTGTGTTAATGATTATGATGGCTTGTTAATCATGTAATAATTTTAATTTGTCAAAAATCTACTGTTCCTGGGAAATATTCATTAAGTTCCTGTGTGATTTGGACCAAACTGTAATTGTAATGTAGTTTGTAGGTGGAGGGTGGGGCGTCATACTGTGTATCAATATTAACTTTGTACATGTTTATATATGCAATAATATATTTAAGTTATGTAAAATATTTGCATATTTTGGTAGTAAATAAAAACCTGGCATACTAAGTCATGGCTCATGATGTTAGACCAAGTGGTTCCCTTAAGGTATGCTGAGTCTTCGGTTATGAAAATAATAGATCATGCAGTTCTGTGGTACACTAAGCCATGACTCTTGAAAATGGTAGATCATGTAGTTCCGAGGTATGCTAAGCCTTAGCTTATGACTGGTAAACCAGGTGGTTTGCTTTACATTTGCTAACCTTTGACTCAGTAAAACATAAAATAGTCCTTAGGATATTAAGATTTTATTAGTGCTATACTAATCATATCCAAGGTGCTTTTTATTTTACGAAGTCAAAAAACTTAAGTGTACTTGACTTTATTTGGAAGTTTACATCTGGCATAGAATGTAAGTAACAAACAATTTATTTAATATTCCTTTTCACATCTGCATTGATGATAGTGGTATATGAAATTAATTAGCTTAAATTATTTGATTATATTTTACCACAAAATTACAAGTGCATTTCTACCTAAGTTTCTTTAGAATTAAACATCTGGCTTTGAAGGTATATGAGATACAATAGAGCACATTTATTGCTCTGTGACCGGCCCCTGTGGCCCGGGGCATTGACCCCCAAAACCTTCTCCAGGTATACTCCAGGTAATTATTTTATGAAGTCTTGACAAAATTATAAATAATGTTCATTTAAATGATTGCAGTTTTCCACAGTTTGAGAATTTTAAAGAAAAAAACAAATGCAATCATCATATGCCGAGGAGTAATTATTTATTTTTTCTATAATTCTTTTTTCCTTATTCCAAATTTTTCTTTAAAAGACTTAAGAGGGTGGGCAGAAATCTGTGCTGTCCAAAAATTATGTTGCTTGACTGTCTACATTAATCTGTCCTAATACAATGATTTTTCCTTTTGTCTGGCTGGCTGCAAAAGTAGCACATCTATTTAAAGCTTAGTAGATGGAATATCACACCTCCACCACTCCTTGTACTGAATGACCTACACTGGATTGGCGTTCACATAAATGTAATACGTACTGTATAATCCTAATACATTACTCTCCTCCTGAATACAAGTTACAGGTTTTAAACTGTAGAACTGAAAGGAACCATGTATTTTTTTTTTTTAATTAGCCTTCCTGGTTTATGAGGAAATGAAAGTTTAAGGGTGAATAAAAGGCAGGGTTGTATTATGCACCGGGTGTGTCATTATTGCCTCCCCTCGTCTTGTTGCTACTTATTGTACATAAGTAAAACTGGCAGGTTTCCGGAGTTTTATAGGTTATTGGTTTGAAATGCCTTTAGAGATGATGCTCTCTTGTGTATCAGTCCTATATTTATGGAAGCAAATTTCTTTTAATATTCATCTTATCAGGCACACTTTGACAGTGAAAGGTAATTTCTTAGAATTGGTAAATGAACCTCAAATTTGGATGAATAGGAATTATTATTATACCGCTTTCAGAACACAGCACAATGTAGAAACTTCATATAGGGAAAATAATTCATGCATGTTCAATATGTAAAATACTGTAAAATACTATTTTTCAGGTGTTGTAATTTTTTTTGGTGGGGGGAGAGGGGGATAAATTTCCAGCATGTTATTCCTTTGTTTGTGGCATAGATAAAATATAGGTAAAGCATTTATATTGTCAGAATTAAAGCTTCTTGAGTACTGTATTGTAAGTTGGGCCTGGCTTTATCTCTGAGAATCAGTGCATGTTGTAGAATATACCGTAGTAAGCCATTTATGACTATGGTACAGTATTTACAAACTTTTCAGTTATACTAATATTGGCACTTGTGGTTAATTTTTGAAAAACTGTGGATAATTTTGATTTATATTTTTATCAAATACATGCTTAATCACATTACCAATGGTAGTCTATAGGTGATGAAATTGAAATAGTGTACATTGAAACAAGGTATTCTATTAACATAGAAATAAGACTATACTCTGTCTAAATAATTAGTTTTTTGTTTTCTTTACCAATAGTTTCCCATTTTTTGTTGGTAAAAATATTTTTTTCCCTTCAGATTATAGAGAGCTTGGAGTTGTTACAGTCACTATTGTCGTCACATCTCAGCCGTCAGCGGGAGGTTAACGAGTTGTTGAACTGTGAACCATTGTTAGTTGGCAAAGGACAGGTGAGTTTGTTTTTAATTTTATTTCCCTTATGAAGCTGATACATTGTACAGTATTTACAATATCAATGGGATATACTGAAGCTGCTGGCAAGGATCTTAAATAGATTTTGTTGACATTAAAATATGATTTTTTTTTTTTAATAAATTTTTCATCCCCTTGTAAAGATAAAAGTACAATGTGAAAAAAAAAAAATTACTGGCCAGAGAAGGTTGCTTGTAAAGCATATTTATATTTGTATCATCTGTTGATTCTCAGCCTATATGCCTATATGACAAGCAGTGACACTAACCATCTTGTACACATAGTTTGATAAGTATATAAAGTAATAGGATAATTTTTGCTTTTATTCTAAGCATATAAGAATATTAATTTTTCATAATTGCATTAATCCTTATCACTAATGGTGGTAATGTAATAATTGTAAAAGTGATTAAAAGTTAAAAATGACACTAATTAGCATATACAGTAATAATTAGTATATATAGTAATTAACAAATGAGGTGACAAAATACACAAAGATAGTTTTAGTAAATAGCTGCATTTTTTATCAGCATTAAGGCTTTTAATTATTATTAAGTGATGTTATTTCATTCTTAGGAGTTTGAAATATTTACATTATAAAAGCATACAAACTCATTTTTGTCTTAACACTTGTGTTATGTACACAGTCAAGTTAGATGGGCTTGAGGACACCGAAAAGCAGTGAGCAGGAGTGGGGAAGAAAGAGATGAAGGGAAGGGAGCAAGAGTAAGAGGGTGAAAGAACAGGAGAGGACAGATAGAAACAAATTCTTTTAAGACTATTTCATACAGCTGTAAATTGTGATGTACAGTATAGCATACTGGCATAGCAGACTTGGTATACCTCCGTTGATATCAACACTCTGATGCGATGAATTCTAACTAGTTTAACAAAAGTCTCCTTAATCTTCATCAGGGTGACACTGACTCTCAAGAAACACCGAGAGGTAGGGGAAGAAGCACACGTGAAGCACCTGACGGAGAAGAGTCAGCAAGGGCAAGCTGTAAACATTCTCAAAGCCTGGTGCGTCAAGGGACCTTCAATATATATGATCAAGAGCCGGCTGTGGCAACCATTCATGCTACTTTGGATGCTCATCTGACCAGGGTAAACAAAGTACAGCAGTTCAGCAGCAACTAGTGCATAACTACCACTAATGTTCTTGTTCACAAATTACGCACAATGTGGATCTCACTGCTCATCACACAGGGAACAGTTGCTACAGTCACTGTAAATAATATTGCTCAAAGTGCAGGATACATTCAATTTCATCAGTGCTGTGTACCTGAGCATGCCTTAAACACCTTTTATTAGCTGTGCCACTTATAAAATCAGAGTTGTGGCCTGACCGAGAAAACTTGGAGGGCAGGGCAGCTGCATGCTGTAAACTTTACTAGGTTTAAAACTTTTGTTAATAGGAAGCTCTTCATAATTTGTGTAATATGTACAGTGTTTCAGTATTATGAATTATCTGTTGAGAAAATAAGACTGTGATTGTTCATTAAAGTAGGTCTGACAAACGCCAGTTTTAGTTGTGAGTGACGAATAATGAAAAATATATGCAATTTTTGTTGTATATTGAAGCTATTGTTCAAATTATAATGACTGTATGTAAAGAGCTGAGTCTCAGTGTACATACAGTAAAACTCCAGAATGATGGCTACATGGAATGGTTTCCTGAGAGAACATTCTGTTATGTACATAAGGATAATGATAATTTTGTTAAAGTAATTTTAGAGTCAGAATCCAAAGTGCTGTTGATATTTTATACTACAAAATTACTTGGATAATTTAAAACTAGTGTAAAATCATATGAATGCAACATTTGCCCTTGAAAGATCTGAGGATCAGTGAGTGATTCCTTAAATGAAAATCTAGGCATACTGTATTTGTGCAGAGGCAGTATCTCCTGGTAGGAAATTCAAAGTGCTTCACATTGAATAGCAGGTTGCAGATGTCTACATAAATGTGGCTAAACTTGTCGCACATTTTTCTTGTGATTACAACGCATTATAATATCAGCGTTATTGAAGATCTTAAACTTTTTAAATATTTTTATTTTAAGTGATACTGTGAGATAGTATCTCTGATTTATGTCCTGTTCTCTTCTGAATAGTCTACGTAAGGAAAACCTTCCTCCTTGTGTGTGAAAACACGTGCATTACTGTCATACTAACCATTCTCTTCACTGTTCCTGTAAAATATAAAGCTTGTGGTTACTGTTACTGGTGAAATAAGGGTGGAAGAAAAAATGAATGGTAAGGTACCTGTACTCTCTCACTTAAAGTGAATTAAAGAATGAGGGATCAGATAGGAAAAATACAGTAGACTTTTCCGGATCCAAGCTATATAAATTGTCATATAGATAGTTTTGTTATACGTACATACTATACAGGTGGTATAAAATGCTGACAAAACAACATGAAAACCATTAGGAGATGACTTTTTCCTGGGACACTTGAGTTTAATCAACTCTTATACAGTAGACAATACTTGAAGAGGTATGAAATATATGGGACAGCAGTGCAAGTGATTGTAGAAAGTGAGGCAACCCTTTAAGTCAGGTTGCCCAGTGGGCCAAACAGGTGGATAAGAGGGTCGGTGAGTTTATAGCTACCTATTACACAGATTATGGGTAGCTTAAGATTCACTGAACCTCATGCCCACCTGCTTGGCCAACTACCCCATTGAAGGGTCATTTTACCATTTGCATTCCCCTGCACTGCTGCCCTATGTAATTCATGACTTTTCAAGTATTGTATATAAGATTTGATAAAGTTTGGTGTCGAGTGAAATGTCATCTGTTAATGAAGGTTTCCATATTGATCTTGTGTTCTGCTTACCCTTAATTATAATGTACAGTACTTTGTTTTAATAGAGTTCTGTATTTATAACAAGAGATGGAATACAAAAGTCTGTATAGAGGACTGTTTAAATCATTCTTCTTGTGCAGCATTTATATGCATTGTGGTGCTCTGGATATTCAGCTCATTAGTTTGAATTTTTTGCTGCTAACTGGCTGATTCGGCTTACTTGTGATAGCGTTTATATTTTTCTAATTAAATGCCTGGTGTTCTTGATGATTTGTTACTTTTTTCACTTTGAATATGGCAGTTAAATGATCTATTGTTAAACGTTTAGAATGATTACTTATAAAAATATAAATTTCATTTATAACATATAGTCACATGGGATTGTCTGGATTCATGATCATATTTACTAACACTGTACAGGTAGTGATATGATATCAGTACAGTGTAATATTTACGAGTTGTAAAAATGCTTGTGTAAAGCTTTGTCACTGGCGTGAGATTTTAGTATAGCATGTATCATATCTATTTTTCAGTAAACAATACATTTGGTGTGAATCACCTTAAAGGTAGGAGCTACAGCAATGGCAGACAAGAACTTGTCCTGTCTTGAGTTGCTGCCCAGGAAATGTGGAATGCAAGCATAACAAAAGTCCTGTTTAGAAGAATGAAATTATGCACTTGTATAATATTGGTAGTTAAAATTTCTCTTATATCACTGCTACCTCTAATGTAAATCACAGTCCTAAACTGTTCTTCAGGAACTCAAATGTATTGTTGTGGCAAGCCTAAGATGCCAGTAATGTCAACTGGTATTCCTTTATAATTTTTGAAAGACTCAAAATAAAGTGAAAAAATTAGAGAGTGGATATCTCCATAGTTCGTCTTCCAAAGTATTCATAGCATACCCTTTAAGAGTCTGATTAATACAGTACTTGATTCTACTTGAGTAAGAAGTTACCTAATATTGATCAGGAAAATTGAGTTGTTGGTTTTCTTTTACAAAACTCTGACAGGCTTTAAGGACATACTAAATATGTATAATACAGTAAATCGAAGCACGTCTTTGTGCACACGCACATACATACGTGCATGCATGTGATTGCTCATGTGTACGCGCGCACACACGCACACACTCACTCAGAGGAGGCCAGGAGCTGTGACTTGACCTCCACAACCTCACATACGGGAGTACACCTACCCACATGGCTGACTGAAAACATGGAGGTGGTCAGGGGAAAACTGAGTGCCAGTATGTTAAGTAAACAACAAAAGATATGTATACCAGCAAGGTTGGACCTAGTGTTTACCACAGTTATGTCCAAAATAGGAGAAATATAATAAGAGCCCTCTGGGTGCCAGTGACTGTGCAGTACTGAACTTTGAATACCTTGTAAAACTAAATGTATAGGGAAGATTGGTAAGTGGAGGGTGGGAGAAGCCAAAGGGAATTTTACAAGAATGAGGAAATTCTTGAATTTAGTGCATGGGAAAGGGAACTGGAGGAAAAGTCAGTGGATGAGATGATGGAATACACAGTTGGGAAGTGTCAGGAGGCAGCATGTTCAGAAACATGGAAAGTGCAGAGGTACACAGTGAGGCTAGTTCCAGAATTGAATCTAATGACCCAGGAGGACAGAAGGATCAGGGAAGACATGATAACAGCATAAATACTTGGTGGAATTAATAGACACTTACAAGCTGTTTGAAAGGCAGGATTATTATTGCATTCATGGGGGGCACTAAACCCAATGGGGTCATACAGCGCTTAGGGGAATGGGAGGCATTCAGGTTCAGTCCAAGGAAGGAAAGGACAGGTCCAGTTCCTTTTGAGAGACAGGAAACAGGTACTCTGGGGGCACAGCTGGAAATTAGACAGATGAGTCAGAGATGTCATCAATCTCAAGCTGGTCAGGACATGGAATGACCTCAATGAAGAAGTGGTGGAGGCAGGCTCCATCCATAGTTTTAAGGGCTAGAAGAGAGTGAATTTGGCAAGTGGCAAGTCAAGAGGTGGGGTCAGGAACTAAGATTCAACACCTGCAACTATATATAGGTGAGTGCATGCATGCTTGTGCAGTCTCACTTTCACTTGAACTATCACATATTCTCTCACTTCTCTGCATGCATGCACTCTCCTCTACATACTCTAACACATGCCCTTTTCACACTTTGTATACCCTTTAAACAAATATAATTTATATTTGTTAGCCCAGATTGGCCATCAGATTTTTTTAGTGAAACCATGTTAAAAGGTTTAAACCTTCGTATGTTGATCAAAAAACTGCTATGGTTAGTTTCTCTTCATTTCATGCTTGTTGCTTTTAATTATTATTTAGTTTTTGAATGTATATACATGTGTGTGTGTGTGTGTCTAGTCTGTCATCAATGTATGCTAATGGGTAGTGTAGAGGCAGCAATTTTCTTGCTTATTCTTAAATATATAGTCATGAGATTTAGCAGGATAAATAGCTTTGCTCAAGGATTCTTAGTTTTATATTTCTCAATATAGATTTAAAAAGATAAATTTTATACATTGGCAATTTGTATAATAACTTTGTAAGACAATTTATGAAAATGTGGCACAGTATCTAGGAAATTTTCCATTTGCCTTTTTAACACTCCTCACTTAAGCTGAAAAAAATGCTTGGCCCTTGTTCAGGGGTGAATATAGGTAGTAATATGGATGAAAAGGGATTGAAGGGCCAACACTGCTCTGTGCAAATCATAATCAGGTTTGTGCAGCAGGTATAACGCAAAGTAACAACACAAAGGTAACTCGTAAGATAAAGGAGTTACAATAAGTTACATTTTAAATGAATGTACATTGTATTGGTTAAGATTAACTTAAAAGTGCTGTACAGAATATTTTGATGAACTTAAAATATTAGTAATACTATAATGTCACACATCACAAAAAAAAAATTATTCCAATTAAGTATACCCCCACAAGGGCTTAGGATTTGAGTGAGAATATAACAGTCAGTAATTAGTTATTGCAAGTTATTATTACATCCTGTTTTTGCTAAGTGTGAAGCTTAAAAACTTAAATTTAAGTTGTAATGTTAAAATTGATTATTGCTGGTAATTCCAATATGCAAAAAAAGTATATACAATAGTTATTACAAATTATTACTGCTTTTGAATTATAATTTTTCCTATAATTATGATAAAAGTAAGTGATACTAAACTATAATTATAGCATTAACACTTGTGATTAATAATTATAGCAATACAGATAATACTAATTATAACTGTAATGATAAGATAATAGTAATAAATAAATAATTCTGTAGTAATAATTTAGTAAGCTGTAGTACTATATGAAAGGCATGTTTTGTAATATTAATTATGCATTATCACTTTAACCTAGCTGCCTCTTTCACACTTCTCAGTCTAACTGAATTGACTTGATCTAATTTATTCCTTTCACCCATATACTCTCCAGTAACACCCACCTCTGCCACACATCTCTAATCATCAAAGCAGCAAGACATCACTGGTGAGTATTGTTAACTTGATCGTATTTTGCCCAATATGGAATGCATTTACTGTTCACAACCAACACATAAATTGAAGATGAAAATAATAACACGATCATCCAAGATGGACCAAACAGTCAAAAATTTAATCTCCAATTGTAGCTTAGCTGTGAATTGCTGCAACCAAAGTACTGACCATTTACTGCATCATGAAAGAAGGGATGGAAGGAAGGAAAGGGATAGTGTATCTATCATTTAGTCTCATTATAAACACAAAAGTGTAAGAGAGACTGGTCAGTGGTTAACAGGAACCCACTTGGAAACAGTAAAACAGCAAATTTAAAAATTAATAATGCATATTATGGCTTTGCACTGTACTGTACTTTTAATTGCTTCCTTCAAAACTGGTATTTAATTAGACTGATTTTTCCCCAGAATATCTCCGATTAAAACAGGTAAAAATTTATGGTTAAAAGGAGTTCACATATTATTGTATAAATTATGCTTAGTGTCACTTTGCAGTGCATGTTACTAAATGGGGAATTACTGTACAGTTCAATAGAATATTTTAAATTACATTAATATGACTGAGCTATAAGCTATAAGACAAAGGAGTAATTCTGCAAATCCCAAGTTATGAGCAGTGTTTTGGTTAAGTTTGAGGCCATTACAATGAGAATGAAGTTGCTGTTTGCATTAAATGTTAAATGGTAAATTCATAAAATCAGTGAAATAATAATAATACTCAAGTTATGCCATTGGCACTATTTAGTATGTTTAAAATTCATCAGGAGGTTACAAGGGTTAAAAGTATGAGCAAAATTCGTTGACATTTATTGAAATTTTTTCACACTATGATGGCAGATTTCTATGTTAGTTGAAGTAGAAACTATAATCTGAGTTGGAATTGCATTAATAGTTAAAATATAATTACAGTATAAAACTACTGTAGTTACAATTGTAGTGATAAAAGTTCAGGGAAGGAACTGAATTATTAGCAATGGTTTGAGTGCTGCATTATATACTCTCCCCAGGTTAGATACATAGGTTAGACAGTATTCTTTATAGCACTATTTTTTTTTTTTTGTATATTTACTGAGTATTGTACGAGCTTCATCTGCTGCTAGTATTCTGTTAAGTATTTTGACCCCATTATTGTACAGTATCTGAGTTGATGTGTGGATTAGTAGTTGTGTGTAGGTCATGGCTGGAGATAGACATCATGCAGTTATAGGGTATACATGGTAAATATTTACACATAGTAGTCTGGATAAAAAAAAAATTAAACTGTTAAAACTTAGTGACCTAAATGATAACTGGCTAAATGATAACTGGCATTTTCACTGTATCAGGTTAGTAAACTTTTACACACCATTTTCAAGGCAGTTTACTAAAGTTTATATTGGATGTGGCAGCTAATTACTTTTCTTGATGCCAAACACCTAGAGAAATAAGTAATAGTTAGATATGGGAAGAGGAGAGGAGAGAGTGTGTGTATGTGTAACCCCTGGGTGGTGAATAGTATAATACATACAGGTACAACATCGATTTTCTGGACCTTTATTTCCAAAGCCTTTCCAGATTACTGATTTTTCCACCTTTAGGGAGTGCAGTATTCTTTGGTCTTGGGGCTGGATAAGTGATGTACAGTTTGGTGGTAAATACACTGCCATGGGAATTTAGAGTCCCTGCTCGTAAATTTGTGTGGCTCTGGACCATCAGTGTCTGGAAAATCAATGTTCTACCTGTAGTTTAGTACTTTTTGTCAATGTTTAAAATTCAGTACATTATAGGATTATTGATATTTTTATTATATATACAGTACTTGTTACATATATAACAGAAAATAAATGTACATTGATTTTAGTGGTAACAAATCTAATTACCTCTCTTAAATTATGTAAAAAATAAGTATTGCAAATATTTTTATATTGCAAAACAAGTGCTAAAATTAAAAAAAAAAAATGTGTTTGATATGTATTAGAAAATAAGAAAAATGTTATAATCCGTAGTTTTATATTTATATTACAGTGTATGTATAACTCTTGCCAAGAGTATTGCACATGGTCATGTATCTTAATTTTTTAAATTTACTAGCTATTTCCCATTAAGGCAGAGTGATCTAAAGAAGAAAATTTAATAATTTCTTTCACTGTCTGCAGGAAAAACAACTTCTGGGTATTAATTATGGGGAAAAGAGTAACCAGCCTCTGGGTATTAATTGCAGGAAAAGGAACAACCTACCTCATTGCCCCTGCCCTTAAGTTGCCTTCTACAACACACATGACTTGCAGTGAAAATTCTAACTTGCTTCTCTACAAGATTTTCTTGTTTGTCTTCTGTAATGCTTGTACATTGTATTTACTGCAATATTTTAAGAATCATCAGATGTGTTCAAATAAAAATTCACAAGATCTGGGTGAAGATGAGAATTATTGTACCTGCTGATCTTCATATAGTTAAATATTTTAAAATTTATTGCTTATTAAAATTTAGTGCTTATTAAAGGTGAAGAGAAATAATAGGAGACTTACATAGATGAGTTCAGTGATTCGTAGTTAAGAATTTTTAATTTAGTATTACTGCTGCTTTAAAGCTGAAAATATGTGGAGTGACAGTTGTAATGAGGGGGGAATGTATTCCATTTGGACTGAAATATTCATAGAATACTCTAATATATAAAGGCTAAGGCTCAAGATATGTAAATACTCGCAAATTTCATTTTCTGGAGTTACATTATATTTGTTGAGATTATAGATATACTTAACTATTAAAGGGTATTTTGTCTTATTTTTATATATGGATCATTCTCCATTACCATTACAGTGCTGTAATTACTTTTCAGGTTGCTTCTTCATATAATTCTCAGTTCATGTATTTTATCTTCGGTTCCCTCAGGTAGGTTGCTTGATGCTGGTGAGGGGCTCCTGATTTAAGGAATTAAGCCTGTGCTCCAATTCCTTCAATAGTCTGAATACTTTCCATTTTTCCAGGCGCTGCATAACCCTTATGAGTTAGGGCTCCCTTGTGAATGTAATAATATCTTCAGTGAATGTAATAATATCTTCAGTTATTTAATGAGAATATTGGATAATAAGTGATCACCATAGTGAGAACTATGGTAGATAAAGGTATTTACCCATTTCATTATCTGTAGGTAGTTACAGGAGCAGATTCGAATTTGTGTTGCCCTCTATTCGGAATTCAGTTACTCGTGCATGATTTTCAAGTTTCCAGTCACTAAGGCACATTATTATATATACAGAAGAATTTTTTTAGCAACCTTTCTGCATTGTTTTTGTTTAGTTTACAATTATGGCCCCATGTTCTTCCTGTTAATGGTGCCAAAGACTACATGTTTTTTTGCATCTTTTATATACTGTTACTTGTCTTGCCTAGAAAAGAGAAATTTGAGCTAGTTCAGAGCAAATACAATTTAATTGCATCATGTACTTGGGAAATATTCAAGGTTCCTCTGTACTGTGCGGTACTGTGGTTTGAAGGTATCTGTAAAAGATTTATTAAGCAGATTTGTAAACCACTTAAGAAAGAACTAGAGTTTAAATGCAGACTGTCCAGAGATAATAGGGCATCTGTAGAAAGAATCCAGTAGACAGGTAATAATGTCAAAAGTTAAATAGTTAAGGTTGTATTGTCACACTGTACAATATTGTATGTACTGTACTTGAATTCTTAAATTATGCTTCCATGAAAAAATAGTAAAAACTGTACTGATAGCATGTGTTTATCTGATCATTCATTCATCACGTTTTCATATCCTCCAAAACATTTGAATCACTAAAGATGAATGAGCATTGCTGCCCAGCATGTGCATCATCACTAGATGCATTATGAACAATATCCACATACTTGTATGATACATGTATAGAAGCTCAAGGTTGCCAATAAAAGTGATCAGTCTGTTGGGACTTGTAAGTACTGCTTATTATTTTTTTTCCGTTTAAGATACAGTACAGTATTGTTTAATTTTGTAAAAATTGCATGTTAATTTAAGTTTAGAAATTCAGAAAATAAACCCCCAGTCTGAAACTGTAATATTTTTGAAGGAATTGAAATGCATAATTACTCTTTTTATCACTTAACTGGAGTGAGTGAGTGTTGTGCGAGGCATTGAGCATGCATGTGCATGCACACATGTATGTATGTAATATAATATATATATATATATATATATATATATATATAATATATATATATATATATATATATATATAATATATATATATATATATATTATATATATATAATATATATTTTTTTTTTTTTTTTTTTTCAACAAGTCGGTCGTCTCCCACCGAGGCAGGTGACCCAAAAAAGAAAGAAAATCCCCAAAAAGAAAATACTTTCATCATCATTCAACACTTTCACCACACTCCCACATTATCACTGTTTTTGCAGAGGTGCTCAGAATACAACAGTCTAGAAGCATACACATATAAAGATACACAACATATCCCTCCAAACTGCCAATATCCCAAACCCCTCCTTTAAAGTGCAGGCATTGTACTTCCCATTTCCAGGACTCAAGTCCGACTATATGAAAATAACCGGTTTCCCTGAATCTCTTCACTAAATATTACCCTGCTCACACTCCAACAGATCGTCAGGTCCCAAGTACCATTCAGTTAAAAACAGAGTAGGGGAGTTAGTAGATGGGGAGAGGGAGGTACGTATTAGGTAGATGGCGAGAATATTTTGAGGAACTTTTAAATGTTGAGGAAGAAAGAGAGGCAGTAATTTCATGCACTGGCCAGGGAGGTATACCATCTTTTAGGAGTGAAGAAGAGCAGAATGTAAGTGTGGTGGAGGTACGTGAGGCATTACGTAGAATGAAAGGGCGTAAAGCAGCTGGAACTGATGGGATCATGACAGAAATGTTAAAAGCAGGGGGGGGGGGATATAGTGTTAGAGTGGTTGGTACTTTTGTTTAATAAATGTATGAAAGAGGGGAAGGTACCTAGGGATTGGCGGAGAGTATGTATAGTCCCTTTATATAAAGGGAAAGGGGACAAAAGAGATTGTAAAAATTATAGAGGAATAAGTTTACTGAGTATACCAGGAAAAGTATACGGTAGAGTTATAATAGAAAGAATTAGAGGTAAGACAGAATGTAGAATTGCGGATGAGCAAGGAGGCTTCAGAGTGGGTAGGGGATGTGTAGATCAAGTGTTTACATTGAAGCATATATGTGAACAGTATTTAGATAAAGGTACGGAAGTTTTTATTGCATTTATGGATTTAGAAAAGGCATATGATAGTGGATAGAGGAGCAATGTGGCAGATGTTGCAAGTATATGGAATAGGTGGTAAATGCTGTAAAGAGCTTTTATGAGGATAGTGAGGCTCACGTTAGGGTGTGTAGAAGAGAGCGAGAATACTTCCCGGTAAAAGTAGGTCTTAGACAGGGATGTGTAATGTCACAATGGTTGTTTAATATATTTATAGATGGGGTTGTAAAAGAAGTAAATGCTAGGGTGTTTGGGAGAGGGGTGGGATTAAATTATGGGGAATCAAATTCAAAATGGGAATTGACACAGTTACTTTTTGCTGATGATACTGTGCTTATGGGAGATTCTAAAGAAAAATTGGGAAGGTTAGTGGATGAGTTTGAGAATGTGTGTAAAGGTAGAAAGTTGAAAGTGAACATAGAAAAGAGTAAGGTGATGAGGGTATCAAATGATTTAGATAAAGAAAAATTGGATATCAAATTGGGGAGGAGGAGTATGGAAGAAGTGAATGTTTTCAGATACTTGGGAGTTGACGTGTCGGCGGATGGATTTATGAAGGATGAGGTTAATCATAGAATTGATGAGGGAAAAAAGGTGAGTGGTGCGTTGAGGTATATGTGGAGTCAAAAAACATTATCTATGGAGGCAAAGAAGGGAATGTATGAAAGTATAGTAGTACCAACACTCTTATATGGATGTGAAGCTTGGGTGGTAAATGCAGCAGCGAGGAGATGGTTGGAGGCAGTAAAGATATCCTGTCTAAGGGAAATGTGTGGTGTAAATATTATGCAGAAAATTCGGAGTGTGGAAATTAGGAGAAGGTGTGGAGTTAATAAAAGCATTAGTCAGAGGGCAGAAGAGGGATTGTTGAGGTGGTTTGGTCATTTAGAGAGAATGGATCAAAGTAGAATGACATGGAAAGCATATAAATCTATAGGGGAAGGAAAGAGGGGTAGGGGTCGTCCTCGAAAGGGTTGGAAAGAGGGGGTAAAGGAGGTTTTGTGGGCGAGGGGCTTGGATTTCCAGCAAGCGTGCATGAGCGTGTTAGATAGGAGTGAATGGAGCGAATGATACTTGGGACCTGACAATCTGTTGGAGTGTGAGCAGGGTAATATTTAGTGAAGGGATTCAGGGAAACCGGTTTATTTCATATAGTCGGACTTGAGTCCTGGAAATGGGAAGTACAATGCCTGCACTTTAAAGGAGGGGTTTGGGATATTGGCAGTTTGGAGGGATATGTTGTGTATCTTTATACGTATATGCTTCTAAACTGTTGTATTCTGGAGACCTCTGCAAAAGCAGTGATAATGTGTGAGTGTGGTGAAAGTGTTGAATGATGATGAAAGTATTTTCTTTTTGGGGATTTTCTTTCTTTTTTGGGTCACCCTGCCTCGGTGGGAGACGACCGACTTGTTGAAATAAATAAAATAAATAAATAAATATATATATATATATATATATATATATATATTTTATATATATATATATATATATTATATATATATATATATATATATATATATATATATATATATATACACACATATATACACACACAGTGGACCCCCGCATAACGATTACCTCCGTATGCGACCAATTATGTAAGTGTATTTATGTAAGTGCGTTTGTACGTGTATGTTTGGGGGTCTGAAATGGACTAATCTACTTCACAATATTCCTTATGGGAATAAATTCAGTCAGTACTGGCACCTGAACATACTTATGGAGTGAAAAAATATCGTTAACCGGGGGTCCACTGTATATATATATCTTCTTTCTTTCAACACACCAGCCGTATCCCACAGAGGCGGGGTGGCCCAAAAGGAAAAACGAGAGTCTCCTTTTACATTTAGTAATATATACAGAGGAAGGGGTTACTAGCCCCTTGCTCCTGGCATTTTAGTTGCCTCTTACAACACGCATGGCTTACGGAGGAAGAATTCTGTTCCACTTCCCCATGGAGGTAAGAAGAAATAAACAAGAACAAGAACTAGAAAGAAAATAGAAGAAAACCCAAAGGGGTGTGTAGATATATGCTTGTTTGGGATATTGGCAGTTTGGAGGGATATGTTGTGTATCTTTATACGTATATGCTTCTAAACTGTTGTATTCTGAGCACCTCTGCAAAAACAGTGATTGTGCGAGTGTGGTGAAAGTGTTGAATGATGATGAAAGCATTTTCTTTTTGGGGATTTTCTTTCTTTTTTTGGGTCACCCCACCTCGGTGGGAGACGACCGACTTGTTGAAAAAAAAAAAAATAATATATATATTTATATATATATATATATATATATATATAATTATATATATATATATATATTTATTATATAATATATATATATATATATATTATGTGTGTGTGTATATATATATTGGCAGTTTGGAGGGATATGTTGTGTATCTTTATATGTGTATGCTTCTAAACTGTTGTTTTCTGAGCACCTCTGCCAAAAAACAGTGATTATGTGTGAGTGTGGTGAAAGTGTTGAATGATGATGAAAGTATTTTTTTTTGGGGGGGTTTTCTTTCTTTTTGGGTCACCCTGCCTCGGTGGGAGACGGCCGACTTTTTTGAAAAAAAAAAATATATATATAATATATACATGTATTTAATTTTTTTTTTTCTCCAGGGGAATGGGAAAATAATTCTTCCTCCAAAGCCATGTGTGTTGTAAAAGCGACTAAAATGCCGGGAGCAAGGGACTAGTAACCCCCCTTTTCCTTTATAAAATTACAAATTTAAAAAAGAAAACTTTCGTTTTTCTTTTGGGCCACCCTGCCTTGGTGGGATACGGCCGGTTTGTTGAAAAAAAAAATGTATATATATATACGTATTTATGTATATTTTCTTTCAACACACTGGCTATATCCCACCAAGGCAGGGTGGCTCAAAAAGAAAAATGAAAGTTTATCTTTTAAATTTAGTAATTTATACGGGAGAAGGGGTTACTAGCCCCTTGCTCCCGGCATTTCAGTAGCCTCTTACAACACGCATGGCTTATGGAGGAAGAATTCTGTTCCACTTCCCCATGGAGAATTTATATATACGTATATATAATATATATATTTTATTTTTATTTTTCTCCATGGGGAAGTGGAACAGACTTCTTCCTCCGTAAGCCATGCGTGTTGTAAGAGGCGACTAAAATGCCGGGAGCAAGGGGCTAGTAACCCCTTTTCCCCTATAAATTACTAAATTTAAAAAGAGAAACTTTTGTTTTTCTTTTTGGGCCACCCTGCCTTGGTGGGATACGGCCAGTTTGTTGAAAAAAAAAAAAATATATATATTGGCAGTTTGGAGGGATATGTTGTGTATCTTTATATGTGTATGCTTCTAAACTGTTGTATTCTGAGCACCTCTGCAAAAACAGTGATTATGTGTGAGTGTGGTGAAAGTGTTGAATGATGATGAAAGTATTTTCTTTTGGGGGATTTTCTTTCTTTTTTGGGTCACCCTGCCTCGGTGGGAGACGGCCGACTTGTTGAAAAAAAAAAATATATATATATATATATACATGTATTTATTTTTTTTTCTCCATGGGGAAGTGGAACATAATTCTTCCTCCATAAGCCATGTGTGTTGTAAGAAGCGACTAAAATGCCGGGAGCAAGGGACTAGTAACCCCTTCTCCTTTATAAATTACTAAATTTAAAAAGAGAAACTTTCGTTTTTCTTTTGGGCCACCCTGCCTTGGTGGGATACGGCCGGTTTGTTGAAAAAAAAAATGTATATATATATACGTATTTATGTATATTTTCTTTCAACACACTGGCTATATCCCACCAAGGCAGGGTGGCTCAAAAAGAAAAATGAAAGTTTATCTTTTAAATTTAGTAATTTATACGGAGAAGGGTTACTAGCCCCTTGCTCCCGCATTTCAGTAGCCTCTTACAACACGCATGGCTTATGGAGGAAGAATTCTGTTCCACTTCCCCATGGAGAATTTATATATACGATATAAATATAATATTTTTATTTTTATTTTTCTCCATGGGGAAGTGGAACAGACTTCTTCCTCCGTAAGCCATGCGGTTGTAAGAGGCGACTAAAATGCCGGGAGCAAGGGGCTAGTAACCCCTTTTCCCGTATAAATTACTAAATTTAAAAGAGAAACTTTCGTTTTTCTTTTTGGGCCACCCTGCCTTGGTGGGATATGGCCGGTGTGTTGAAAGAAAGAAGATATATATATATATATATATATATGCAAGGAATTCGCAAGAGCAGGCGAAATATACACAAACACTGATCTCTGGCTGAAGGACACTCGAATCTACGAACCTTGGAACAAGGTACGCAGTGCTATACCATTCTCACCACACTGGACCAATACCTTGGAGTCCAGCTTGCGCTAGACTTTGATCCAAGGCAGCCAGCTTTCAGGGAGAAGGCTTACAGCTTTTCATCTCATCCCCCGCATGCATCAGCCTTACTAGAGATTTTAACAATGCAAGGAATTCGCAAGAGCAGGCGAAATATACACGGTGAGATACGGCCAGTGCATTGAAAGAAGAAAGATAAATGTATGCATACATTATGAGTTTATAATTTTTTAAATACTATATTTTTCTTTTGTATCATGCTCTAAAGCAAGAATTCTGCGACTTTTTCAGATACCATACTGTGACGTACATTTAAGAATAGCAAATTATGTATAACCAACATAGCAGTAGAAATACTCTGAATGTTTTATTGTTAATTTGTTGAAGATATATGAGAATTGTTTTTGCTTCATTTGTAGCCAAAGTGCAGAGCTTTATGTATTATTGATATGTAACATTATGAGACATTTAATAAATGTGTAAATAAATTAGTTTTTCCTTGGCACTTAGTAACTGTTGTAGTTGATCAGTTGTTCCTTGCACTCCACATATCAGTTACAACAACCTGTCTGAACAGAAACCTAATAAAATGACTTGCAAATTTTCAAGTTCTAGACTGTTAGGGAAATTGATCGGGTTTAGCACTTACCTTGATTATATTACTATTATTAAGAAAACTGACTTATTGCACCAGCTATGACATTATTTTTTAATCCTTATGCTTGCCCTCCACACAGTATTAACATTAGCACCCCTTAACTATGCATCCACACCTGACAGACATGTAGTGTGTGTGTGGGAACTTCAGGGTCCTGGGTAATGAATGGGTGGATGCATGCATACTGCCACTGTTGCTGCTGCCACCATTGTTAGTGATGCTGTCCCTTTGGGAAGTTCCTTGATGATGGTGAAGGGGGGGGCACTTGATCAAAGGAATTGGATCCAACCTTCCCTTCTTTGGCTCAGACCTAATTGCCTCCCATTACCACAGGCACCACACAGATGTCCCTCGCTTTATGCAACAGATGTGCTCCTGGCCATTGGCGTATAAAGCAAACTCACTGTAACTTGTAATAGAAAGGGATTCATTTTTAGACTTTGCCAATTCCACATATTTATTTTTTCCTCAATTTGTGTTTTAACCAATGCATTCATACTTTGTGAATGCTCATTTCATGAATATATAAACCCTCACATTTTTTTTTTTTCACAAGACTGGTCAAGAACTGTAGATTTATTATTTACTGTATAAGAATGTGAGCTGTTGGCTTACTGGGGAAGAAGTGGAGAATTTTTAGTGGGACATGTGAGGGTGGGTAGCTTGTGAGCCATGGGAGGCCCCAACCCTAGCCAAAGAAGAGGATTAGGCTGGGACCTCAGGAGGTTTACCTATCCTGGACTGGTGTCTGGGTCATCTCTACCTCCCTCATTCATTACCTTCTTCAGTGTTTGTAAGGGCAGGAGAGGCCAGGAGCTCACAAGTCCTGGACATGTTTAGTGGGCGAGGTGTGTAATATGACAACAGCACCCCTCACTCGCCACTGCCTTCAATATACTACATTAGTTTAGAGTGATATATAGTGATATAGTGCAATAATGATTAAATATTAAATGGTCGCTCCCCTCAAGGAAGGTTCCTTGATGTTGGTGAGGGGCTCTTGATTTAGGGAATTGGATCTGTGCTCCAGTTCCCCAAATTAAGCCTGAATGCCTTCCACATACCCCCCCAGGCGCTGTATAATCCTCCGGGTTTAGCGCTTCCCCCTTGATTGTAATAATAATAATAATAATATTAAATGGTCGCTGCACTTAAATGAAAACAAAAAATGTGAATTTTCACCATATAGCAAACTCCTGGTAGAAATAGTCACTGCATATAAGCAAAATCACACACAGCAAATCCATCAAGTGATGGGAAATCTGTATGAGCTCTATGGGCTTAGTGCTCCCTCAACAGGGTAATTAAGAAGTCAAATAGGGCTATCACCAATTTATATTATATATTTACCAAAAAATTACACCTATAAACAAAAATGTGATACAGAAAATGGTGGCCATAGCTGAAGATAAATACCAAGACAATACCATAACCTGTCCATGTGAACTGGATCAACTATCACCATCCTTGTGTTTTACACATTCCATCATCAGTCTGGTAGGACACTCCTGAGAGATCATGGCTGAACCACTCATAAATTATATGCTGACGATATGATTCTCCTTCGGGGTCATCGTCCCCAATAAATCTGTCTTGGGGACTGTCATCAGGGGCATAAAGAGCTTCAGAGTCATCAGGCGGCCCTTGTCGCTCAAGTGCAAAGTTATGCAAGGCAAAGCAACTTAAGATAATTGCACAAGATGTTTTAGGATTGGACCTTAGTTCTTGACTTGTGCACTGGAACCGCCTTTTCACCATTCCAAATACACGTTTAACTTTTCTCCTAGTTGAAGAGTGAGCTCGATTATAACACTTTTCTGCTGGTGTCACAGGGTTGATAACTGGGGTCAACAAATAGCGCTGACACTGGTAAGCAGAATCTCCCACAAGATGACCATACTCTCCCTGTTCCAGTACTTGTTTTAGTCTAGAATTCTCATATATCTGCCAATCTGGTACACTGCCTCCCCAGCGAACAATGGCTGTTAAAATTCTTAAATCGGGACCAACTACCACTTGACAGTTTACTGAATACCAACCTTTGCTGTTCTTGCATTGTTCTGCCATCGCGCCTCCAGGGTTAGATATCCGCATGTGGATACAGTCGATGGCTCCAATAACATTGGGAAACTGAGCTACCTCATAGAACCTGTTCACAAACAAAAACTGAATTACTGCATGCAATGTTTTAACCATAGTCTTACATAAGAATCACGTGACTTAGTAATTAACAAGTAAATATCAACCCCTTGAGAGATGTCCCTTGATGCTGGTAATGGGCTCTTGATCAAAGGAATTGGACTTGTCCTCCCCTTCTTTGGATCGAACCTAGTTGCTTCCCATTGCCCAGGTGCTGTATGACCCCTATAGGTTTAGCACTTTCCCATGTATAATGATATCAAATATCAGAATCTTGATATTACAAATACACTGTATAATATAAATGCAGAAAATTTAGTACTAGACAGTTGCAGTAACCTGCAGAAGCAATATCATCAGCCTACTTGGTATGCACATCTGCAGCTTCAGCAACAGAGGGAAAAGTAACAAATTGACTGTAGCGCTTGGCCAAGGCCTCCGATACACGGTGGATGGTTCGGCATACTGTAGGTTGACTCACTTGTAATCCATGTTGATCCCCGACAACTTTCTAGTAATACAAAATCAGAACTATCAACAAATGTTAACATTAATATAGATAATACAGATATTTACAAATAAAAGATGTGATTATATAATGTTTGACTATTATAGTACAGTATCATACCTACATATACAATACTGTACAGTAAACCTCCCACATGGTTGCTGCCACTGATACAACCAAGTCACAGAAGTGCTGGCTGTAAAATAATCCTATTGTAGCAGAGTGGTTAGTGTTATGCCTGATATATGCACTGACCACAACTTGAAACCTGCCATTTTCTCTTATTCATATAACCCCCAAAAAAATCGTAAAACCCCAAATGGGGCCCCAAACCTCACGAGTTCTGAACAATATTCTTTTTCCCAGTGCCCCTTTAGGGTTAGGATTATGCACGGGGAAACAATTGATGGTTTCCATTTTTTGGGTTACCCTATAAAATTTTTCCACAAACTCAAAAACCCGCTTTGAATTTTAATTTTCCCCCAAAGAAAGTATTATTTTTACTTAAATTTCCCCCTTTAAATTCCCATTGCTGGCAACTAAAATTAAGGAATGGTTGCCTTTTGGTTTTAATTCTGTTCCATTCCAGTGGTTATGCCCTGTGGTTAGCACTTTTTTATAGTAAATAAAATTCAAATTTAATACTTACATTATTTATTTCAAAAAATTTAAAATTATAGAAAATTGCAAAATCAGAAAAACTTCGTACTTGACAAGAGCCCGCAATAAAAGGAAAGATAAAAAAATGGTAGCGGGCCAAGGGCCCGAACCACGGTTGGAGGTTCCAGGTCCCCTGGATGTTGACCCCAAAATTAACTTTTGACGCCTTTATAAAAAACCCCCAAAATTGGGGATATAAAAATTTAAACATTAATCTGTTTTCAGATTTACAAAATTAAAATTTTTTAAAATGTTTACATTAATCGTTTTTATTCATACCCGTAAAACCCCAAGTTCCTAAATTAAAAAGAATAATCAGAATTAAAAATAATTTTAAAGGGTTTTTAGCTTTAAAGGTCTGTAATACAATTTGAATGAGTGAAGTTTTTATCCCTATTTATATATAAAAAAAACATGGCCCAAAATGCAAAACCGGGGGCGATTGTATTGTCAACCACTTAAGGACATAACTTGTACCCCCAATTTTAAGTTTAAAAAATAAAAATTTGGATATAAGAATTAAAAATTAGGAGCCAAAGCCCTTTATCACTTTTCAGGTACTTGCCTTTTGGCTGGATTTTTTGAATTAAACATTAAAGGTAAATTTTCGGACCTAAAATTAAAGTTTCACCCAAAGGAATACACTAATATTAGCCCCAAATAAAAAAAACCTTTTCCGGGAAGCATGAAAAAAAGAAATAACCTGGAACCAGAGGGGCGAACCGTTGCAACGAAACACCCCTGAAAGAAAGACTTGCAAACCCCATCCCCCAATAAAAATTCAAAAGTTAGGAATAAAAAGTTTACCCACTGTTTCAATGTCAACACAAAAATTTTCAAAAAACCCCCTTGGCAGTCTTCATGTGGGTGGGTTTAACAACCACCAAAAACCAGTTCCAAATTTAGGGGGTTGTTTAGTTTTTTCCAAGAAAGCCTTTGTTTAGGTTGATACAATTTGGTTTATAAGGGTAGGTTTACCCCACTCTTCCATAAACCCAGACCAGCAATCCTGTAAGGCTTTCATTGATACCCCTAAGAAAGTTGCTTGCCCATTATTTTTGTCATTAACTTTTGAGCTTCTACCTCTTACTTGTACTCTTCCTGTATAGCCCTTGTGGCCTAGCGCTTCTTTTTTGATTATAATAATACTTGTACTCTTATTTCCACTTGCCTGTGTTTTCTTGCACACAATGCTGCTCATCATATTCCAATAAACTAATAATTATTTTAATGCTGTACTTAACCCTTAAACTGTCCAAACGTAGATCTACATTTTTTCAACTTTTGAAAGTATGTAAAAAAACGTAGATCTTCTTTCTTTTTTTTACATTTGAAAACATGTAAAAAAAACTTTGATCTACTTTTTTTTTTTTTATATTTGAAAATATGTAAAAAAAATGTAGATCTACTTTTGGAGCACTACACATGTGAACGTAAATTTGCTTGGACAGTTTAACCCTTTCAGGGTCCGTCCCGTAGATCTACGGCTTTACAGTGAGTGTCCAAACCGTAGATCTACGCCATGAGCTCAGCTCACTCTGATAAACTGTGAGTGGTACATTTGGGCCTAGATATGAGAGAATACATCTATGTGGTATGTGTGCACCACATAAAACAGATCCTGCAGCACACTGTGTATAATGAAAGAAAAAAACTGAAATCATGATTTTTCGATTAAAACAGCAACTTTGCAGTGTTTTTTCGTATGTTTTTTATAGTTGTATTTGCGATTTCTTGGTCTCATTTGATAGAATGGAAGACATATTACAGAAATCGAGATTGATTTTGATTGGTTTTGCATTGGAATGGCTTGAAACTGAGCTCAAAGTAGCGGAAATGTTAAAATTTTTTCCGATATTCATGAGTAAACAAACGACCTCACACTCTAATTACACGTCAGCTGGTGGGTCTAATATACATTCACAAATATGGTGATGATATTTATACAATTTTACAGTATTGCATTTAAAAGTAAATCTTCTATTTTTTGGTTTTGAATAAAAATTCATTATGTGAATAAAAAAACAAAATGGAATTTATTTGTTTAAAACCTCAAAAAAATAAAATAATGAACGAGGAAATGTTAGTTTAGTGCCAGGAATGCCTACATGTTTATTCTGGACCCTATTTTGAAATTGGAATATTTTACTTTGTGTTAAATTGGCCAAATTAACAATTTCCCATCACTTTATTTTGTAGTTGAAACAGTTGACTTGACGATTTCTTGTGTCAATCGATAGAATAGAAGTAATATAGTGAAATAGCTAAAAATTGGTTGATTGAAATAATGTAATTGGCCTAAAATGGGAGTCAAAGTCGGCAAAATCGCCGATTCGTAAATATTGCTGACACATCAAAATTCGCGAGAGCATAATTTCGTCAATTTCCCACCAAATTTCGTACTTTTTGTTTTATTACCTTCACAAAAAGATTCTCTACGATTTCATAAGAAAAAATAACAAATTTTTTTTTTGAAAATTCTTGGACACTGGTGCGTGGCTCCAGATTTGGGCCTTGGACCCTGAAAGGGTTAAGGGTTAAAAAATAATTAATCATTTCTGGGCAGGTGCTTTTCCACCTCATACAAGTGGGAAATTGAGTAGTAATGTTCATAATGCTGATTTTAACCCTTTGACTGTCACAAGCCCCTTTCTGAAACTGTTTTTCTGTCACAAAATTTTGGAAAAAAAAAAATTATTTTTTCTTTTGAAATGATAGAGAATCTTTTCCCAATGGTAATGACACCAAAAGTACGAAATTTGGTAGAAAACTCATGGGATTACGCTCTTGCGAAGTTAGCGGTCTCGGCGACATAAACACATTGGCGATTTCACTGACTTTGAGCCCTGTTTTTGGCCAATTCTGTTGTTCCAGTTGACCAAACTCATAGCTATTTCTTTAGAACTCCATTTTTTCCATCAGTTGAGCACAAGAAACCGCCCATTTACCGATTTGAACTACCCCAAAAAAGTGGTCAGAAATTGGCAATTTGGCCAATTTCATGCAAATTAAAAATGATGCCAATTTCAAAATAGGGTCCAGAACAAACAATGTAGATATTCTTGGCACTAAAATAACATATCTTCTGTTCATTAGTCACGTCTCTAGGGCCCCTCTTATATTATTATTGCTTTCTATTTTGATTTTTTATTCATACAAAAAATAAATAATTTACTGTTATGCAGACTACTGCATTATTGTAAAAATGGTATAAATAATATCAGTATACTAGTGAAAGAATATTAGACTCCCCAGTTGACGTATATTGGACGTGTGGTGTGATCTGCTTACTCCTGAACATTGTTAAAAATCGAACATTTCCGCTACTTTGAGCTCAATTTCAAGGTCGTTTTCTTCATGAAACTAATCAAAATCATCTCTATTTCTATAATAAGTTTTCCATTTTATCACATGAGACCATGAAAACGAGAATACAACGATAAATACTATACGAAAATACACCTCAAAGTCGGCGTTTTAATCCAAAATAACGGTCAGTTTTTTCTCATTACGCACTGAGTGCTGCAGGATTCTTTTTGTGGTGCACACTGACCACACAGACCCATTCTCTCACATGTGGGCCTACCAGCTTTCTCCTGCTTGATTTGAAGCCGCTAGAATTTATGCGTATTAATACGTCCGAAACAATGGCTCGTAAGATGTATATATATGACCAAAACAGTCAAAGGGTTAATAGCTATACCCTCAAGGCAAGCGCCTTGATGCTGGTGAGGGACTCTTGATACAAAGAACTGAGCCTGCTCTCACTTCCTTGGATTGAACCTGAATGCCTCCGATTCCCTCAGGCACTATATAACCCCTATGGATTTAGCATTCCCCATGAATGTAATAACATTATAGCTATGGTAGAGTATTGTTAGGGAAATACATTATACTATACTAAACATTATTTTTGCTACCAACTAGGCAGACACTGCACCTGTGCATAATTATAATTGGTAATGCTTGACTGAGAGTCTTCCTTCAATTTTAGATGCTGTACTTATTTAAATACAAACAAACTATTCATAATACTGAAACCTGTATATATTTTGAAATTCTTGTGTGGTATATTTGGATAATGGATCTGCAGGGTCTTGTAACTCTGTACTCAGGAGGAGGAACTGTCGGTATCTTCTCATGCGGATCTCCCTCCGCAACATGTCTGTGCTTGGCCTCCGGCATATGGACTGGGAAAAAATACATAGTCATGGCAAAGAAAACTGATGTTGAAAGTTTAAAATACTTAATTTCTATCAACAGCTCTAAAAGTATGGCTGTCCTTCAAAAGGAAAATTTTTGCACAGAACAAACATCAAGCATACAAAATGATATACAATACTGCGCTTAAACTTATAAACAGTAAGCATAGAAAAATTTCATGTATGTACCAGAAAGTAGAGCACATGTTCTTCATATGCCAAAAAAAAAAAAAAAAAATAAAATAATTTGCCTCACGTACATCTCTGGTGATATGCTTGTTGTTATTATACTTGCTTTAAGGTCCTCTCAACTGTTTGTGGTTTTCAGTATTTCTCTTACTTGGCTCCTATTTAGTGATCAGTCTTTTTTTTCCTCTTCTCTTTTACTTATACGTAATTTTGCATATGGTGAGAGTGAATTCTAGTACAGCAGCTATTCATCTATCACCTTGCAGTCTTTACAGGTCCTCTTGGTGCCTGTCCATCATCTTTCATTCTTGTTTTAACACCTTTACACCCTTCACAAACAAATGTACAGTACTATATGATTTGCTACATCTGGCACATGTTCTTTATATTTTCTGCTATCCCAGATTATTTCTCCAACTTGTGGATAAACATCTGGTGTGGTAGTGTCAAAAATATATTTTCTTTCCTACTTTATCATCAGTTGCTGTCATAACTGCAGTAGGTTAGCAAGACAAGATTTCCCCATCCCTAAACCACTGCTGGTTGCTGTCTATGAATCCATCCTCTATCAGCATTTGACCACTTGATTTTTTATTGCCTTCTCCATTACCTTAAGAAAGCATTTATTTATTTGAATCTGTGTCTAGTAAGTTTTGTGTTCATGGCAAGGACATTATATGAAGTGGTCATCAGATGCATCAGCTATAAAAACCATCCTAAATATGTATATAAAAATTATATTAAGAACACAAATTTTTGGGCTTTTGGAGTATCATGCTGCACTTCAAATACTGTAGCTAATTACTGTACTGGCATTATTCTTTTTCTCAGAAATATTATTTTAAACTGAGCTAAGATATGAATCATACTAAAAAAGATACATACAAAGCTATTTTTTTTCCACAAACTGGTCATCTCCCACCGAGGCAGGATGACCCAAAAATACATTGTTTGCAACAGCTTGATAAAGCTCCTGGAGAGCAAATGTTGCCACAATAAAATGTCACATTAGTTGCACTTGTGTCTTTTTACCTAACAAAAATGAAACACTTTCACCATCACTGTCTTGCCAGAGGCAGACCAATACTACAGTTCAAAACTGCAAATATCCTAACCCCTCTTTCAGAGTGTAGACACTATACTAATGTTAACTACAAAAAAAAGTATTCAAGCATTGATAGCCATAATCATTACCCATTAATAATAAAGCAGATTTTAATAATATACACACCTTATAAATCATTTGTAGTCTTATGATGCTATTTACAGAATTAACCAGGAAGCTGGTCTCACGTTCACCCTGTGTATAAAGAAAAATTAATTTAAGGCATAAGAATGCCAACAATTTAAATCTATGAATAAAATTTTATCCTAGCAAGGAACTTTTATTGGGATTCCTGACCCAAGGAATATGATCTCTCTTTTCTCCCTTTCCTTGGATTGACCTTCACTGCTTCCCATACCCCTGGTGGTGTATAACCCCTACAGGTTTAGCATTCTTTTATAAATGTAATATTATTATTTTATTTTCATTCAAAAGTTCTCAATACAGTATTGTCCATATTAACTTCCAACTCCTATATTATTTTAATTATTATTACTAAATTATATTCATGAAAGCCTTGTGTGTGTGTGTATGTCAGTGCTGAGTGAGAAGGATGAAGTGCCAAGGATAAGTGAGTAAGTTTATTCATGCACACATTAATACAGTTACATAAATTATCATACATAGCAGCATGTGTGTAGATTACCCAGGATAACTCAAAAAGTCAAAGTAAAAAGTGACTCATTTCCACTGAGGTCCTGAGTAAAAAAATGGAAAGCAAGAATTTGTCATTGTAGCAAGTCAAAATCAGTTAAGAAGAAAAATAGACATAATCTGCATTAAAGGTGTGACTGACAGAAGCTGAATCAACATGACAAGCAAAATAAGATATTAGACTGTCAGGATAATACACAAAGTAGTTGTTATAAATGTAATGATAGTAATCGTACTCTAGTACAGCAAAGATCTTACAGTACAACTCTATAGACATTTAACACCCTTCATGAGGCATATCTTGATGCTGGTGAAGGACTCTTGATCCAAGTAATTAGAGCTGCCCTCCCTATTATTATATTCAAACTACAAATATACTACTACTCTACTATACTACTAATTCTATTCTACCAGTACTATTCTACTACTATACTACTTCCCTACTACTACTAGTATTCTACTATACTACTTCCATGACACTATTGTTATTCTACTACTTCCATACTACTACTACTATTACTTCCATACTACTATTATTCTACTACATGCTGCTTGAAGATAATTACTAACTTGCTAAAGTTATAAGTGAACTTAGAGGCTGTGTAGTGACCAGCATAACTTGTAATAAAGTTGGTAGAATTACCGACAATATGTAAAGTAAAAGGACACAAGTACAACTAATGTGACATTATTGTGGCAACGTTTCGCTCTCCAGGAGCTTTATTGTTGCCCCAATAAATGTCACATTTGTTTGCACTTTGTCCTTTTACTTTAAAAAAAACCCTTGTAACTTGTAATAAAAAGGGGATTTTTTTAAAAGACTTTCCCAAATTTCCAATATTTTTTTTTTCCCTCAATTTGGTTTTAACCAATGCATTCAATTTTGTAATGCTAATTTCATGAATATATAAACCCTCCTTTTTTTTTTTTTCACAAGACGGTCAAGAACGTAAAATTTTATTTATTTACTGAAAGAATGTGACGTTGGTTTATGGGAAAAAGGGAAAAATTTTTAGGGGGACATGTGAGGGGGGTAGCTTGGACCTGGGAGGCCCCAAAACCCTAGCCAAAGAAAGGGGATTAGGCGGGACCCAGGAGGTTTCCCTTCCGGGGACTTGGGGTTCTCACTTCCCCTTTTCCCCAATTCATTACTTTTTCAGTGTTTTGAAAAGGGCAAGACCAGATTTTCACAAGTTGAATGTTTAGTGGGGGGTTGTAATAAAAAAATCCCCTCATTCCCAGGGGGCCTTTAATAAAAATTTATTTAGTATAATAAGGGGAATGTTCAATAAGTTAAAATATTTGGTCCCCCCCCAAAGAAAATTTTAATTTAAAGGGGCCTTTTTTTAGGGAAATTTTCCATTCCCCAAAAAAGCCTGAATCCCTTCCACAACCCCCCGGGGGAGGGCTGTATAACCTCGGGTTTAGGTTTCCCCCAGGGTAATTAAAAAAAATTAAAAAAAGGCCTTCCTTAAATTTAAACCAAAAAAATTTTTCACCATAACAAATTGTGAAAATGTATGCATATAAGAAAAATACCAACAATCCATAATGAGGGGAAAATTGAAAACTTCAATCTTGTGTCCCTCAACAGGGTTTAAAAGGAATCCCGAAAAAAATCAAAACCCCCAAAATTTAAAAAAATTTTTCCATAAAAATAAATAAAAAACAAAAAAAAAACCGGAAAATTCCCCTCCCTTGAAATTAAATCCCAACCCCCAAAACCAAACCCCATGGTGAAAAAGTTTTTTAACGGGCCAAATTCTTTGTTTTCCTTCCCCCCCTCCTTCTGTAAACCCCTCCTGGAAAAAGGGGCTGAAACCCTTTCAAAATTGTCTGAAAAATGAAAATGGGCAGTCCCCTTAAACTTTTGGGATCGTCCCCCAAAGGGCTAAAGTAGAAAAGGGGGTTTGCTGGGTTGGGGGGGTTTGAAAATTGGTGTTTTGGAGGGGTTTTCGATTGTGCCTGGAACCCCTTTTCCCATTCCAAATCACGTTTAAAACTTTTCCTCCATTAAAGAGGACTCGTTTCATTTTTGTGGTGTCCCCGGGTTGTTGGGGTTTTTTGGGGCGTCCCGGGGAAAAATCCCCACTTTCCTCCTTTTTATATTTTTTTATAAATTCTAATAGAAAGGGGAACACCCTCCCCACAACAAACGAAAATTCTTAAATGGGAAACTAACTAAATTTTAAATACCAACCTTTGCTGTTCCTTTTGCATTGTTTTTTCCCATCGCGCCTCCGGGGGTTAGAAAATCCCATGGGGGTTCAGTCGATGGCCCCAAATAAAATGGGAAAGAGCTACCTCATAAACCGTTCACAAACAAAAACGAATTACTGCATGAAATTTTTTTAAACCATAGTCTTACATAAGAACACGTGACTTAGTAATTAACAAGTAAATAAACCCCCTTGAGAGATGCCCCTTAAACTGGGTAATGGGCCTTGATCAAAGGAAATTTGGGACTTGCCTCCCTTCTTTGGATCAAAACCTAGTTGTTCCATTGCCCAGGTCGTTGACCCCTATAGGTTTAGCACTTTCCCATGATAATAACAAATATCAAACTGATATTAAAAATAAAGTAAAATTAATGCAAAAAATTTTAGAAAATGGGAACATTTTGAGTAACCTGCAAAAAATATCATCCCCTTTTGCCATCTGCAGCTTCAGCAACGAGGGAAAAGTAAAAAATTGACTGAAAGCGTTTTGGCCCAAGGCCTCCGATACCGGGGTGGATGGTTCGGCATATGTATTTGACTCACTTGTAATCCATGTTGATCCCCGAAAACTTTCTAGTAATAAAAAATCAGAACTATCAACAAAGTTAACTTTAAATATAGATAATACAGATTTTTACAAAAAAAGATGTGATTATAAATGTTTGCTTTTAAAGACAGTATCAAAACCACTATCAAACTGTACAGTAAACCCCCACATGGTTCTGCCACTGATACAACCAAGTCACAGAAGTCTGGCGTAAAATAACCCTATGTAGCGAGTGGTTAGGAGGGCCTGATATATGCACTGCCCACAACTTGAATCGCTGTCCATTATTTTGTTTTTTTTCATAAAAATATTATTCTCCATGCCCAAAATGCTCTACAAACCAGGGGCTTTGCATATGTATAATTGTTCCCCAAACACTAAAGCTATAATCTTGTCCCTTTACTAATTAAACTTTAAATATGCAAAACATTGCTGCAACTAAAATATAAAAAAGTTAAGGACCAAATGTACAAAAATTTTACTGTACTATTTTTCAGCTGTCGTATACCCTTGTGCTTAGCACTTCTTTTTGATTAACAAATAAAATAATGTACTAATTTTCAGAGTACACCTTACATTATATGTTCACTTTTCGAAAATTCATATATAGTAAAAATAAGCTGCCCAAAATACAGTAAAAAAACGTTCTGACCTGATAAGACCCACTGCAATAAAGTGAAGAGAAAACAAGACGGGTAGAGGGCAGGAAGAGGGCGCCCAGGGTTGTCAGGCTTTCCCAGGCCCCCCCGGGATCATTTTAAGAAGCTCGCAAAATAACTCTTTAGACAGCCTGAAAAATAATCCCAAATAAGTGTAGGGTGAAAATGAAAAGTTTACAACATGCTGTTTTTGATGACAACACTTAAAATTTTTGTCACAAACTTTGCAGTAAACTGTTTTAGTGGGGGGGATCATCTACCCACCACCTGATCTAAAACCAAGCTTCCAAAATTAGAAAAGGGAATAATACAGAAATAAAAACTTTATATTCCTAAATCTTTCTTAGCAATTAAGGGTTGTAAGACACACTTGGTGATAGAAGTTAGAAAGATTTTCTCCCAACTTCTTTTCATAAACACAAAGACCAAAATCCTGTAAGGCTTTCTTGATACCCCAAAGAAAGTTGCTTCCCATTTTTTTTCTTTAAACTTTGAGTCTACCTCTTACTTGTACTTTTCCCCCTGTATGCCCTTGTGCCTAGCCTTTTTTTTTGATTAAATAAATTGTACTTTTTTTTTTCCACTTGCCGTGTTTCTTGCCACAATGCTGCCATCATTTTCCAAATTAAACTAATAATTATTTTAATCGACTTAACCCTTAAATGTCCAAACGTAGATCTACTTTTTTTTCAACTTTTGAAAGTAGTAAAAAACGTGATCTTCTTTCTTTTTTTTACATTTGAAAACATGAAAAAAAAACTTTGATCTCCTTTTTTTTTTTTTATATTTTAAAAAATATGTAAAAAAAATGTAGATCTATTTTGGAGCACACACTGTGAACGTAAATTTGCGGGACAGTTTTAACCCCCTTTCAGGGTCCGCCCCGAAGATCTCGGCTTACAGTGGTGTCCAAACCGTAGTTTTCGCCATGAGCCACTCACTCTGAAAAACTGTGGAGGGGTACATTTGGGCCTAGTTGAGAGAAACTTTAATGGTAGTGTGCCCCCATAAAACAGATCCTGCAGCACATGTGATAATGAAAAAAAAACTGAAATATATTTTTCGATTAAAACAGAACTTTGCAGTTTTTTTCGTTTTTTTTTTTTAAAATTTGTATTGCGATTTCTTGGTTCATTGAAAAAGGGAAGACATTACAGAAATCAGTGATTTTGATTGGTTTTAGCATTGGAAATGGTTTTTGAAACTGAGCTCAAAGTAGGGAAATGTTAAATTTTTCCCGATTTTTCATGAGTAAAAAACGACCCACACATAAAATACACGTAGCGGGGGGGTCTAATATACATCAAAAATAGGTGATGATATTTATACAATTAAATTACAGTTTTGGGCAAAACAGAAAAATCTTCTATTTTTTGGTGTAAAAAAAAATTTCATTATGTAATAAAAAATCAAAATGGAATTTTTTTGAAAACCCAAAAAAACTAATAAACAGAGGAAATTTTAGTTTAGTGCCGGGAATGCTACATGTTTATTTCGGGACCCTATTTTTGAAATTGGAATATTTTGAACTTTGTGTTAAATTGCCAAATTAAAAAAATTTCCGATCACTTTTTTTTGGTTGAAACAGTTGATACGTTTTCTTGTGCTCAACCCCCAAAATAGAATTAGAAGTAATAAAAAATAGCAAAGAATTTGTTATTGAAAAAATTTAAATTTTGGCCAAAAAGGGGGGAAAGTCAAAGTCGGAAAAATCGCCGAATCGTAAATATTGCTACACCCAAAAATTCGCGAAGCATATTTTCGTCAATTTCCCCCAAATTTCGTACTTTTTGTTTTTTCCTTAAAAAAAAAGTTTCTCTAAATTTCAAAAAAAAAATAACTTTTTTTTTTAAAAGGGAATTTCATTTTTTTTTTTTTTTTTTAAAAATTTTTCCTTTTCCCAGATCCCTTTGGGCCTTGGACCCAAAAGGGTAGGGTTAAAAAATAATTATATTTCGGGGAGGGCTTTTTAACCCTAAAAAGTGGGAAATTTTGGAATAATTTTAAAATATGTTATAATGTGATTTTTTTGATGAAAGTTTTAAAAATGTTTTCGTCACAAAAATTTTGGAAAAAAAAAAAAAAATTATTTTTTCTTTTTGGGAAATGATAAGAATCTTTTCCCCAATGGTAAATGACACCAAAATACGAAAATTTGGTAAAAAGGGAAACGCTCGGGGCGAAGTTAGCGGTCTCGCGGAAAAAAACAAAAAAGGGGCATTTTACTGACTTAAGCCCGTTTTTTTTGGCCAATTCTGGTTTTCCATTAAACCAAACTTTAGAAATTTTCTTT